TTTATTTCTAAAACTCCTTTGATTAACTTTATATAACTTCCGCTATAAAATTTAAAGTAATATCCATTATCATTGACAATTTAATTAATGTTACCGTCCCATGGTTTAAAATGCATATATCTTGTTTGATTTATATTTTTAAAAATTATTTCTAATTATTAAGTAGTTTCTTATTTTTTCTTAATTTCATATTAATTACAAAACTACATTAATAAATCAAATTCGCTATCATTTTTTAAATTTTCCTTATTTTCTTATTACTAATTTTAAATATTTTCTAAATGTTGCTATTAAATTTCGATTTTTTCTATGCTTGCTCTTTTTTATTGTAACTTTTAATTTTGATCTTTTACATTCAAAATACTTATTAAATCTTAAACAGAATCAGTAAATAAATCTATATCGTCTTACATTAAGTTAATTTATAATAATGTATATTTAAAAATTATAAATTAATTTATATATATTTTATAAAAAAATTGTTTAAATTAAAAAATATTCAAAAAAAAATTATTTATGTAAATAAAGGTATAAAATAAAAATAGTAAATTAATATATAATTTTAAATAAAAACTTATATTTCTAATAAATGTTACAATAAATAATATATTTTTTCGAATATCATTTATTATTATTGATTATATAAAAACAAAAAAACAGTTCATAAATATTAATATAAAAAAATATTTATATTTTTAATAATTAATAAATATTAATATTTTTTATTATAATAAATATTAATTATATAATGAGATAAAATTCAATTATAAAAATTTATTCAATATAAAATTTAATTTAAGAATGTTTAAAATTATAAATGTCAAAAAACTAATAAAAAAAAATTATGTTTAATAAAATATAATTATTTAGTATATAAATATTAAAAAATATTTAAAATAAAATTAATTTTATTAAAAATTTTATAAATATAAAGTTTTTGAAATATATTATTAAAAATTTTAATAAAAATTAAAAAATATAAATATGCGAAACTTATAATAGAGATAATATAAATAAAAGCTTTTTTATAATGAAATTATATTTTTAATTAAAAAAATAATCTGATTACAAATATATGTAAATATAATATGCTTTTTTCATAATTTTCAATTGTATTAGATATTCTAATGTTTTTATTTTACTCTATAAAATTTTATTTACAATATAAAATATAGTTATTTATTTTTTATGTCTTTTTTAGTTAATTCACTATTTAAAAATATGAAAAAACAAAATAAAATATAAATAAAATAATATTTGTAAAGTTAAATTTAATTTATTATAGCATATAAAAAAAAATTTTTTGGTTTTTTTAAATTAAATATAATATTTTTTAAAGCTATAAATATGATTGTAATATTTAATTTCATAATATTTTCTATTATCATTCATTTATATTTAAATTATAAAAATTTAACTAATTAATATGAAAATATTTATCTATTAATTACTATTAATTATAATTTTAATTTTTATATTTATAAGTTAAAAAATATTTATACATTATTAAATTTTTTAAAACTTTATTTACATATATATATATATATATGTTATAATTTCTGATTATATTTATTATTATTAAATGTTAGAAGTTTATTTTATTATACCAAAATAATAAAAATTATTATAATTATTTAATAATTATATTAAATTAATATAAATTTATTGAATAAATAGTCATAAATTTTTAAAAATTTATACAATAAATAGATATATATTATATAAAAACAGTGATATAACAAATTTTTAATATAAAATAAATTAATTAAATTCATAAAAGTTAACAAAAAAATTTTTTAATATATATAAAATAAAAATTGTAATATAATATTTCTTAACCAACTAAACTATAGTAATAAACAGTATAAAAATTATATTTATATGTTTTAGATTAAACTAAAAAAATATAAAAAATAAAACCATAAATATAATAAATTGACCTAATTAATATAAAATGCAACAAAGTAGAAAAATATAAATTTTTAATTTAAAAAATCCAAAAAACTTATAGAATTTGAATTATAAATTAACAGAAAGCTATAAAAGTTCAATTTAAGAATTATAGATTCAATTATTTTTAGTAAAAAAAGGAATTTTAGTATTAGTGAAATTTTACATAGTTTAGATATTGAATATTCTTTTATTGTTACACTTTAATATTAGTTTCTGGTAAAAATCTTATTTTGAAAAATTAAAATCTTTAAAATGTTTTTACTTTTTTAAAAAAAATAGATTTTATGTTAATATAAACATAAGTTTTAATTTTCTAATAATAAGATTATTAATAAAGATTAAAATATATACATTATCTTATTTTAATAAGATAATTAATATTAATATAATATAATATAATATTAAATTAAATATAAGAAATATATAAAATATTTAAAATATTGTAAAATAATTGTATATATAAGTAAATATTTTAATTTAATAACTTTTTTTAATTAAAAATATAAATAATAGTTTGTTATAAACTAATTTAAATGCTTAAAAAACATTATTTTTAAATTTTTAATATTTATTTTTAATAATAATAATTATTTTTATTGTAGATTATATATACAATTTCCATTATTTTATTTTTTTGTATATTTGTATAAAATTAATACTTTTAAATAATATTTTAATTATTAATTAAAAAAATTATATGAAGTTTTTGTTATTATATATTATTTCACTTAATATTAAAAAATCACTAATAATAATAAAAAAAAAAAAAATTAATATAAAAAATAAATTTATAAACCTAAAAAATATTAATAATTCATATTTATCGAAAAATTAAAAATTATATTTTTACATTAATATTGATAGATAAATTAATTTATTATGAAATCTAATAAATAATATTTAAAACATAAAATCACTAGGTTTCTTCCATAGCACAAATAAAGCCTTTTTACTAATAATTATTATCTTTAGTATAAGCTTCAGAGGATAAATCTGAATATTTTTATTAATTAGTAGTATTAACAACAAATATATAATCATATTAATTATAAGACTCATAATAGTCAACTAAAAGTAAAGGATAAAGTTTTTTAATATCACTTCTTGTAATTTTCGAATCCAAAGGTTAATAATTATTTTATCTGCATTTCCATTAAACTAAGCAAATATAATCTGATTCGAAATCGTCTTTATATATTTATTTTATCAATTAGGGTTAATCATGTTCGAGAATTCCATGATCGGGTAATTAAGTTATATCTTAAGATATATCAAATTAAACAAATTTATTTCTTAAAAGCTTCTTTTTGTGATTTGTTGGAGAATAAGATACTTCGATTTGGGGAATATTAATATTTTTTGCTTGTTAATCTATAAAATATATTTTTATTTATTTTTAATTATTTTTATTTTACTTTCAAATTCTTTTATTAAATCTTAATAAAGATCTTTTATTTCAGATCTTTTTACCCAAATATTTCCGTTTGTATTTTTTATAGAAACTAAATACTTCAATGGATTTTTATTATTTCTATCTAATATTTTATCGATTTATTTTAAATTTTCTTAATATTATTTCTTTTGTTCCCAATCATCAAATAAATATTAATAATTTTAAATATTTTAATATAATTCCTAATTAATAAAACAAAAAGTTTAATATTACATTAATATTTATAAATAAATAATATATAAAGTAGAAATACCCATGTATTTTTTTCGTCATCAAATTCTTTCCATTTTATTAAATAATATTAAAATCCTCTTAAACATTTATAATCCAATATACATTCAGGCTAAAATTACATTTAATTAGCAATTTTTTAACTTCTTGTCTGCATAAAAATATCTAAATTTTATTTAAGTTATTATGTATTTATAAAAAAAAAATATTTTAATTGTTTTGTTTATAATTATTATTATTATTATTATTATTATTATTAAAAATTTGTTGAAATATTTTATTTAAATTTTTATGAATTTTAAATATAATATATAATACATATATATTTATTTTTTTTCTTTTATTTTTACTCCCTATTATTTTTTATTTAAATAATTAATTAAATATATTATCCTATTTTTAAATTTTAAATATAAAATATAAAATATAAAATATATTAATTTAATAAAATTTATAATTTTAATAATATAAGATTTTAATTTTTCATTTTTATTATTTATAATTATTTTTTTTTATTATTTTTTTATTATATTTTTCAAGTTTTTTTCCTTTTAAATTTTCAAGAGACTCAATAAAAGATTTTCCCTAGCTTCTTTAATTTAACTTTATTTATTTTTTTTTTTATTCGTTTACTAAATAATAATCATTTATACATTCATTTATAAAATTTTAATTTTCATTATTTTTTTAATACTATTTAATTAAATATTCAATTACATTTTAATAGAGTAATGTTTCTGTTTATTTCTATTAAATAATTTCTTTGAAATGTTCATAAATTTTAAAACCACTATCTTTTTCATACTAAAAATCTAATTAATCATACTAACAATCATATAAAACTAAAGGAAATTCCGATGCCATTTCATAATTAGGCTTACGACTATATTTTTAAATATCTAATAAATCAGTAACAATACTAGTATCTTCCTATCTACAAAAAAATTAAAATATATAAAAAAACAATATAAAAATAACCCTTTCCCTATTAAAAATAATACTGCCATAATATTTCTAATTTAATGCCATAAAAACGCATTTCCACTAATAGTTGCCACATATTATTTCATTCTAGAATCTTAATATTATACTCCAGGATTAATTTCATCAATATTAATAAAATGAATAGTTCTTATAAAATTAGTAGTTTATAGAACATCTATTTTACAAAGATTTCGAAAATCATGTTCTCCAATAAAAAGCTTTGCTGCTTCTTTTATTTTATCCACATTCATACAGTTTTCGAAAAAAAATATTTATAAATTCTTCTATTACAGTCAAATCTGGCATTAAAATCATCTTTTACTTATATGCAGCTTAAAACTCTTATATCTTATGGTAATACACCATTTAACATTTTAATACAATTAAGATTATTTTAAACTATTTTTTTTTTTTTTTAATAATATGTTCTTTTTATTAAAGTAATTAAATTACCTTTTTCTTAATCTTCATCTATTTTTATAGATGTTCGGAGTTAAATACCTATTACTTATCCAAATGCACTCACTCCTTTGTCTGTTCTACCTGATCTTGTATATTTACATGTATTTCTAGATTCTATAAGTGAAGTTTTTTCAAATGCTTTAAATAATTCTTCCTCTATAGTATTTTATGTAGAGGCTTATATTGCCAATCCTTAATAGTTAATACCTATATATGCAACTTTTATTGCAAATTATTTCTTTTAGTATGTTTGGTTAAGTTTTTAAACCTTTTTATCATTTTTTTTTATCCTTTGTTATTATTTTTAATTTGGATTGCTTTTAATTTATTATATTTTAGCTTTTAACTGTTAATTTTCGGATTTCATTTGATTTATTTTTTCAATTAACTTTTCTTTTGTAAAATCTTCTAGATTTTCTTCTTATTTTTGATTTTCGCTTATATCCATTATTAATTTTTATAATTAAAAAAAAATAAAAAAAAATACACAATAAAATTTATTTTATATCCAAATTAAAAATAAACAATTTTTATTTTTTTCATTCTTTAAAAACAAAAAAATAAAATAATTGTATTTATCTATACAATACACACACATATATAGGTATAAAAAATTTCATTAAATAAACAATATTATATCAAATAAACAGTTTTTCGAATCCTTTTTCTAAATCATCATCATTTTCATTCTCATTATAATTATATTAATCTAAAAAAAATTAATTATTATTATTATTATTAACTTAATCTTAATTTATATTTTAAAATATTTACTCTCTGTATAAATAATTATTAAAATCATCACCTTCTTAATTTTATTAATAATAGTAATCATTTTAATTAAAATTATTTTCTTATATTTATTAATATTCTTATTCATATTCTTATTATTATTCTTGTTTTTGTAAATCTAATTAAGAATTTTAACTAGGTGTTAAGGTTAAAAATTGTATTTAGTTATGTTTTTCAAATTCTCTTTCTTCATATGTTTTTTATTCACATTTATTATATTCGTCATTATTTTAAATTACAAATTATTTATAAAACTTATTATTATCATAATTATCATTATTAAAGTCAAAAAAATAATCTAATTCTTTGTCTGTTTCTTACGATTTTTTAGAGTAAATTTCTTAATATAAAAAGTTTGAATCGATATCATTATTTTATTCTAGACTTTATTTTTAAATTAATATTTATTATTTTAATATTTAATTTATTCTATCAATTATTTCTTTCTCCTTTTCAGTTAAATCTGAAGACATTATTTATAATTATATTATTTTAAAATTTATATTTAATTTAGCTAAGAAAAAATATTATTTAATTTTATATGCGATGAAAATTTTTTTTATTTGTTAATTTTCTTATTATATTAAATTTATGATTATAAAAATATAAATTATTTTATATTATAAAAAATGTAAATTTATTATTTTTAATATTATTGATATTATTAAAAAAATATAATTATTAAAAAAATAATAATAATAATAATAATAATACTAATATTAATTATAATATTTTTATCTTAATATTATTTTTAAGAATACAAGATTATAGATTTATTATTCTTTTTTATATTTTATATTAGGTTAAATAAAAATATATATTTGCAAAATATTAATATTTTTTTTCTAAATAAAATAAAAAATTATATAAACATTTAATTTTTTTCAATTAATATTTTATAATCTTTTAAAAAACTAAACTTTCTTTATTTTAAAATACTCATATTAAATTAATATTTTAAAATGGAATCCAAAGATTATAAAATCAATAAAGACATCAAAAAAAATGCTAAGCGAAATTCTTCAAGCCATGATAATAAAAAAGATAATAAAAGTAAAATTATAAGAATTATAAAATCATTAATCAATTAATACTTTTAAACAAATAAATAAATATATAGAGAAGGAGCGTAAATTTTGTTCTCACTCTCGATCACATTAAAAAAATAAACATAATCATAAATATAGTAAAATTAGAGATTTAAATTATTAAAGAAGTTCTTCTTATAAAAAAATAAACACAAAAAGACTGAAAGTAAATATGAAAATCATAAGTGTTATTGTAGATATGAATATAGGAAAAAAAATTAAGATTTTGAAGATAGTAGGAAAAGAAGAAGAAGTTCAGATTCAACGGATAGAAAATAAAAATAAAAGTAAAATTTTTAATATCATAAAAGCAATTATTAAATTATAAAAAAAAGTAATCATTAAAGTGATAAATATTAAAAGAGCAAAGAAATAAGAAATCGCAAAATAAGTAAAAGTGAAAAAACTTAATAAAAATAAAATAGTGATAAAAAAAGTATTAAAATAAAATATATATAAATGCATAAAGATGTAAAACATAAAAAAAAGAAAAAAAAATAGAAAAAAAATATTAATAATTTTAATTAAAAACAAAAAATATCAATTATATATAAAATTATAAAATTAAAAATACATAATTTCTCTAAATATCTACATATAAAAAATAAGGTTAATCATTAACAAATAAAGATTCAACTTCATCTTTAAATTTCATATAAAGTGATTCAAAAGATCGTTCAAAAGATGCAGGTCATTATAAATATTATATAGGAGAGAAATTCCACGAAAATCGTTATATAGTAACAAAGCATTTATCAGACGGTACTTTCGGAAGGGTTTTAGAAGTAAAAGATACACATAATAATAATTAATTAATGGCACTAAAAATAATACGTGCCGTAGAAAGATATGTAGAATCAGCCGAAACAGAAGCAGAAATAATATTCAAATTATCAAATGCAGATAAAAAGAATGAATATAATTTTTTGAAATTAGATTAAGTTTTTTCACATAAAAAAAATTATTGTATGGTTTTCGAAAAATTAGGTTATTCATTATACAGTTTATTAAAAAAGAACGACTTTCAAGGCTTCCCAATAAAATAAGTTTAATCCTATTTCAAAAAAATACTTGAAATAGTAGGTTTTTTACATAAATAAGGATGCACACATACTGATTTAAAACCCGAAAATATTCTTTTGGAAAGTCCAGAACTTTAGAAAATAAAAAACGATAAAAATAATCGAATATATATAGGAATCAATGATCGAATCAAAATAATAGATTTCGGAGGTGCTACCTTTTAACATGAACACCATTCAAGTACAATAAATACTAGATAATATAGATCTCCAGAAGTAATATTATAATGCTGTAAATGGAACGAAAGTAGTGATATTTGGTCTATTGGATGTATTATTATTGAATTATATTCTGGTAAACTCTATTTTTCTACACATGATAATTATGAGCATATTGCTATGATTGAAAAAGTTTGTGGTAATATCCCATAATGGATGGCTAATGATTGTAAATAAGAGAAACTAAAGGATAATTTTCAAATTAGTGATACTTATTTTTTAGCTAAGAGATCTTTTTTTGATTGGCCGGAAAACGCTACAAAGGAAAATATTGAAAGTGTTCAAGGATTAAAACACTTTAATTAAATTATCAAAAATGAACATCATGAACTTATTGATTTAATCTAAAAATGTCTTTAAAATGATCCTAATAAAAGAATAAGTTGCGCTGAAGCCTTAAATCATGAATTTTTTAGAAAATTATATTGAATTAATATATTTTTAAGATTTATAATTTTTTTAATAAATTTATTTTATAATAAATATAATATATATATATAATATTATACATATATATAATATATATAAATTTTTTTAATTATTATTATATATTTTTATTAATAGATTTTAATATTTATTAAATATTTATAATTAAATAATTAAAATTGTATTATTCTTATATTACCGTCTAAATACTAAAATAAAATAATTAATTTAAAATACAAAATATTATTTAAACCCTTCGTTTCCAAGTTTAAACAAAAAAAATATAAAAAACAATTTTTTACACTATGAAAAAATTAAATTAAAATAAAGCTTAACTATCATCGACAACCACAACCACTTAAAATTTAAAAAAAGTTTTTAGATGTATTTTTTTACCAAAAATTACTGTAAATAATTTAATTAAAAATAAAATTTCAATTTAAAAATTTAAAAAAAAAATAAAATTAAAAAAATAATTTTCATAAATAACAAATTATAAATTTTGATTTAAAATCAAATGTTAATTTCGCTTGATATAGATTGTTTAATAAATGTTTTTATTTATAAGTTTAAAATATAATATATATAATTTTAATGATTTATTATATAAAAATATTGTTTTAAATAAATAATTTAAAATATTGTATATATATGTATATATAAATATATATATATATATATATATATATATATATAATATTTTTTTTAAGCCTTTATTTAATTTTATTTATAACTTTCATCTTTTTTTAATAATTGTTATTTATTTTAAGAATTAATCAAAATTTTTAATTATATATCATATATATAATTTTAATATAAAAAATTTTAATTTAAAATTATTTCATAAAATATATATAAAGTTAAACAAAATTATATTTTTAAATAACTTTCAATAATTATTAATTTTATTTATTATGTTTCAATTTTATTATAAATAATAAATAATAAAAATAATTTTAAATATAATAATAATTAAATAATAATATATTATATTTATTTATTAAAATCATTAGTTATTATTATTTATCATTATTCTTTTTTTTATTAAGATCTTGTATTTTTAGCAATATTACTAGAAGTAATTTATACTTTTTGAATTTTTTTTTTGTTTTGACAATGAAGCAGCTTTTATCTTCTGTATCAGAGTTATTTTTAGATTCTTCATATTTTAAATTTTTTTAAGATTCTTTAATTTTAAACGATTCTTATTATTTATTGGAAATTTCGTTTTTTTTAAAGTTTGAAAATTAAGAACTAAGTTTTAAAATTTATTAATGGTTTAAATTACCCTAAATTTTAAAATCAGATTCTTGAGTATTTTATTGACTTATATTTATGGCAAAACATTTATTCCATATGTTATTATTATTATAATTAAAATTATTAATATTATAGTTATTATTATTATTATTAATATTATTAATGATTATCCTGTTTTTATTATTATTTTAATTTTTACTCAGTATAATAGAGTTAATATTATCATTATTAATTTTTGAATTTAAAATGTTAATTTTATTATTACTATTATTATCGGATTATATTTCAATAAACGAGTCATCATTTATTATTTGAATAAAGTTATCACTCTACTTTTTTTATGAAAGGTTTTCTTATTGTAATTATTATTACTCATGTTTTTATTAATAAGAAAAACTTAAATCTATATCCATTCCAAATATTTTTTCAACATTACTAAATTCACAAAAAAAGGGCAAATCTTATTTTTCTTCTAAAACTAAATTCTAATTTATGGTAAATAATACTTATTTGTTATTGAAAAAGCATAAATCTAATTCATCCTCAACTTCTATTTAATTATGTATATTCTAAAATGAATCAATTTATTATTCTAATTAATCTACTAATGAAGACATTTTAACTTAATGCTTTATTATTTTATTTTTTATTATTTATGAAACATTCTTTATTTCTATTGAGCAGTTTTTATAATATTCTTTGTAAGTTTTATTATTTGTTGTAGTTTTTACTTTTTCATATTACTTTTATAAGTAGTCGTTGAACAACTTGTTATTTTACTTACATTCGTTTGATTCTTATTCTATTAATAGTATTATTCCTATTGTTTAGTTAATTTATTCTAAAACTTAATTTTCGTAAACCATTTTCATTAATTTTATATATTTTAATATAAAAAAGAATAAAAAATCAATTTTTGTTTTTTTTTTTTTTTTTTAATTTAAATAAAATTCACTTATTTTTTTATTTTTACAAATTATAAAATAAGGTATTTCTAATAATTTTATTTTATCTAAAATAAAGCCAATATTTATTAATATTGCTAATAATTTGGACTTAGCAACAAATTTATTTTTTTATATTTAAATAATATTCATTTTTTTTATAAAAAAAATTTAAATATAATTATACTCATTTTTTTATTTATTTTTTTCATCTTATTAATTTATTTAAAATCAAAAAATTAGAAGAAATTGTTTAATTTATATTTTTATAATAAAATAAAGTTAATATTAATATAAAATAATTATAATTTTATATATATAGATTAAATAAACAAACGAAATTATATTTATAATTATATATTAAAATAAAAAATACTAATATTTCATATAATATATAAATAATTAATAAAAATAATGTAATCATTAATTTTTTTCTTTTAAAACTTTTTAATAAAGTTTAGGTAAGCATTATTTAAATTCAATGTTTTGTTCAAAGAATTCATTTAGAAACTCTACAGCATTTTCATGTTTCATTAAAAAAAATATTTTTTCTTCTCCAGTAAAATTAAGAATTGCAAAGAAATAAAGAGAAGTAAGGAATAATTAATTTTAATGATTGCTTTTTTTAAGATTCTAACATTCAATTTTTACTAATTATTCATTTGAGATTTAAATAAATAATTCATTATAAATTTATTGAGATTGATTCTATTTTTTTATTTTTTATAATAATATTAAAAATTAAATAAATTATACTTTATTCCAAATAATAAAATTCATATAAATCAGTGATTCATTTCTGAAAGGCATATAATTTTTCAAAGGCCATTATTTAATAGTTTATTTAAATAAATTCATGTTCAAAATTTCTTCGTTTTAAAAACAAATAGAGCAAATATATTTAATAAAACCTTCTTATATTAATTAATTTTTAAGATTTTCGTTTTACGAATTTAAAATAGCAATAAAACATTAAGTTCTAAAATTTAATTCTTCGTTAAGGAGAGAAAATATATGAATATTATCTTTTTTATTATATTTGTTAAAAATAGATATTAATTAATGCTATTTTTAAACTATTTAGGAATAATAAATTATAAAGCTTGCATTATTTAATAATTCTTATATATATTAAGAATTATTTAGAGAAACCAAACATAACAAGACTCTCATAAAACAAAGAGAAACAGGAATTTGTTTAGAATTTTAATATAATTCAAGTTTATGTTCATTGATTTTTTCTTCAAGAATTAATTCATATGTAGAATTTATAAAACTAAGAATCCATTATAATAGTTATTCAGAAAAATTTTATTAACCTTTTTTTAAAAATAAAATAAAATAAAAATAGATATAAATATAAAATTACGTTTATTAAAAATAATATATGTTAATCCCATATTAGAAATCGATTCAATAAACTAAGAAAATAACAAAACAATATTGAAAATAGAATCATTAATTTGTAAATATTAAGAAATTTCAATAATAATTTTTTAAGCCGAGAAAATAAGGGAATGAATAATATTTTTGATTTCAATATAATGCTAATTAATGTCTTTTTTAGCTAATAAATAATGTTTAAACCAACTTAATAAATGAGAAATAGTATTTTCTACTAAATTTTCAAAGTTTTTTGTTTTTTGGAAATTATTATTAGTATTTTTTCCACTTATATAATTATATTTTATTTCATTAAAAATACTTTCCTTATTTTCATCAAAATATCTTCCCATAATATTTATTTCCGTTTCTAGATTTTTTAAATTTATTTCTTAAGGAATAGATAATCCTCCTTCTCTTAATAAACTTCTAATTCCAGGTGTAGAATCTAAAATACTTATAATTTCACTTCTTGAATTCTTAATTATTTCCTTGAATATTTTAAATACCATTGGACTTAAAATTTTAGTTGCTTTCTAGTCTTATTTTGAAGATTATTAACTATTTTCATATTTTGAAGTCACTAAGTATTTTAAAATTGTAGGAAAAATATCTATTGTGGATATATTAAGTGCTTTTACTATTGTTTCTGGCCCATTTATTAGATTATTAAATATTTATAAAACTAATATTTTGGAACTTATTAATTCTGATTTGTTTTTTAAAGTCTGGAAAATATTAGTAATTAAAACTGTACTTTCAAATATGAAAGCTAATTAATATAAATATTGTCTTGATATTTAATGCTTTAGATAATAGAAATTATTTGTACATTCATTATATTTATTTATTTCTATTTTATCTTCGAATAATTAATTCATATAATTTGAAATTCCAAAGTTTTTATAGATTTCTTAGTTTGTATTTAAATCTCTCTATTTTAATTTTTTTTTTTTTAAACAAAAGAATTATATATTTAAACAACAAAAAAAAAGAAGAAAGTACCTAATTGTGGTAAGAATAATTAATTTCAGAAAATCCTAAAGAAATCAAATGGAAAATCTACAAAACAACAGCACGAACATGAGGATTATCAACATTTAAATAAGGAATAATAAAAAAAGCTATTCTAAAGTCCAAAAAAAGTTTAATCTTGCTAATGTTATTGGTAAGGAGTAAGTCTTTGAAATAATTTAAAGCATTAATTAATTTCTAAGAGCCTTCTGTATTTGCTGAACTCATAAAAAGAGTGTTTTTTACAAAAATAAACTAAAGATTTTCTGCAATTCTTACAAGATCGTTAAAATAGTCTGCATTTTTACCACAAGGAACTCCGTTATCTTAACCATATTTTTCACTAGAAAATCTAATGTAGTCTTATAATACAATATAGTTTCCTTGCCCTACTCCTGCTTCTCCAATTGTAGCTGAGAAAAGATTTTTTAAAGAATCAAAAACGACTGGTGACCAGTGTTTGCTGGAGAAAACATAAGGGCTACTTTATGTATTAATTTTTTTCCAAAGAATATCCGTTTCATCATTTTATGAAGAAAAAAAGAAAGAAGAAAAAAGTGGAAAAGACGCATTATTCATCATATTTTGGTATTCATTTTATAAATTTCGAGTAGTTAAAATACCTGATGTATTATTTAAAATATTAACAATATCAGATTAAAGTACATACTCTTCCCCAATAAAAATTTTAATAAAGCAATTCAATAATTAATGAACAAAAGGAGATATAGGCGAAGAATAGGAATCCAATTAATACATAAGGACTTTGAGTAGATTTTTTAAGCTTTCAAGTATTCTTTATGAATTATTTAAACTATTATCTCCCTCTTATTTTTCTATTATTAACTTTCTTTATTCACTATGATGTCTAAGGCTTATAAAAATTAACATATCAATAATATGATTTTAAAAAAGGAAATTTGCAAGAACACTATTTGAGTTTTTTCTTCTTTCTTATGATTCCTTATCTAAAAATGGGTGCATTTATAAAGGAATTTCAGGAAGATATTATTCGCTTTTATTTTTATTTTTTTTATCTTGTTCTTCTAAATAATCAAAATTGCTCTCGCTCAAAATTTGTATGATTTTTTTATTTTTTTTCTGTTCCATAATCGAACTTACATAGTCTATTATTTTTATAAATTCTAAAGAAAATAAGTTTATTTTTTCAGGAAATTAAATTCCTAATAAACAAATTTATCTTAAAGGATCATATACTCTTTCTTTTAAAATTATACAAGGAGATTTATAAAAAAATACACTTTCAAGTAATTAAAAACTTCTCATTTTTTAAAATTCATCCATTTGAAATATTTTTGAATTTAAAATAGCCTCTATAGTCGGTCTTTTCAATTCTTAATATTGCAAACAAGCGGAAATAATATCCATAAAAGCAGACAATTCCTACATATTTTATTTTCCGAAAATTTCTTCAAAAACATTTCCGAAACTTTATTTATCAATAGCCTTAATCATTGTACTATAATTATTTTATAGAAGCTAATCCTTTTATTTTTTCCCGAAATCAAAATTTAAAACATCCTAAACAAATTCGTCCGAAAAAACATCATAATGATAGTATTTACTTGGGGTTTCTTTATTCAAAAATCCAAAGTGTGCAGGAGGTTTACCAAAAATTAAATGGAAAAGAAGGCATCCAAAAGTCCAAACATCAATATAACTAGAAGATTCATTTGTTTTTTTATGAATTTATTCAGGAGCCAAATAACTTTATTTGTATAAATTTTCAACATATATATCTTTAAAGGGATGTTCTTATTAGGAACTCGTATTTTCTGTAAAAAATTCACTATAATCCAATTTTTCTTTAGCTTCTAAAGCCCCAGCTTATTAAACTAAATTAATAAAAATATCAGGAACAATATCTATTTTTGAATAAACATCATATTTAGATATTCCACGAATATTAGCGAGTTTAATTTTATAAGTCTTTTTACTTATATATAGATTTTCAGGTCTAAGAATATTCAATACACAGGTATAACTATTAATAACTTGCATAATTTTTAAAATTTCAATAGCAATATACTTAATTACATACTAAGCTTATTAAAGTTCTAATAAAACTGGCATTCTTAGAATTCCTCCATTTTAAGAAATTAATTCTTGAAGGCAAATATATTCATTTTCACAGTCTAGTTTTTCATTTAATACTATATATTCAACGTCTTATAAATCATGTCCTACTTTTTTTATAAAAACTCCTAAATTCTTAACCATAAAATCGTATCGATTTTATAATATTGTATGCATTTTTAGTTCTAAATCTAAATTTTTCAAAAATAAATTACCGTCTGCACATTTCGTGTTTAAAACTTCTTTTGTATATACAAAAATTTCTATTTATTTTTATTTTTATCCTCCTTAAATTAATACTCCTGTATAATATTTTATATAAGGAGTTAAGTATTTTAATGACGAATCATCTTTTTAATACAAACCATCATCTAAAATTACGTTCCAGCTAGTTTGATTTATTTCACTTTGAGAGTTCAACACTTTTAATTTATCTATTTGTTTATAAGTCGAATAATTATTATTTAAATACTCAATTTAAACCTTTTAGTTTATTAATTCAGTTGATTAACGTTTTAGACTTTGGATAGTGTTTTATATTTGTACATTTAATTTCTTTTTTTTTGTTAAAAAATATATTATATTATAGTTTTATTAATATTACTTATAATTGATTTTATATGCTTTTCAAACAACTTTGTTTTGATATTAGTTAAAATCCCCTTATTTTTTATTTCCTTTGTTATAAATGATTTCTCATTTCTATTTACTATTTATTATATTTAATTTATTAATTTAATAATAAAAAGTATTTACAGATGATTTAATATTGATAAGCGTTTTAAAAAGATTTGAAAATCCATCAAAGTAAATAAGAGTATGTGCGAAAACGCTTTTATCTATAGTAATGAAAGTTGAATAAATGCTCTATTTATCATATTCTGATTAAATTTCACTTTCAGAAATTAATTTAGCAAAATAATCACACATAGAAGAAATGTTTATTTTATCTGTTTTATAATTTCTAAATTTCTAACATATCCTTTAGATTTAACTATCCGTAATTCCAATATCAAATCCCAAGAATTTAAAAGATTAAAAGAACTCCTGAGTAGTTAAATAACCATCATAATCACTATCATATTTTTTGAAAAAATCTTCAATAGAAAAATTATCCATTTTAGATAATTTATTTAATATAGAAGTAAAAGATAATAAAGGTTTATCAATCCATTTAATTTACTCAACTTCATTTTATTCATAAATCTATATATGAATAAATAAATAAATAAAACAAAATATATACTTTTAATCCATATTTATATAATCTAGATTCTAAAGATGATAGATGTATTATTTCTTCTTAAGATTTAGGATCAATTAATTTCATTAATGCTAACAAAAGGTTTTCTTTTTCAATAGGACATCCAATTTTACATAAGAAATCTTTAAATTATTTTTAATTGAGGAAACCTAATTATTCTTTATCGAAATATTTAAAACAATTCCAAAGAGAAATTTCTCTTTAATTCATTACTTTGCAAATATGTTCCATAATGCTTTCCTCAAGTTCATAAACTAGATTTTTTTATTACAAAATATCATTTATTTCATTTTAGTTTCCTTCCAATTTACCTTCAGCGGCTATCCAAAATTATACAAATTCTAAATATTTTATACAACTATCTTAATTCTTATCAATAAAAGAAAAAGCGAATTTCAATTCTTCTTTTGTTAAATAAACACCCATTATAACTAAAGATTTTCTAAAATCTTCTATTTCACAATATCCTATTTTCCTTTAATCAATAGTAGCCCATGCTTTTTCCATATTGTTATTAGTAAATTCCTTTAAAGTTAAATAAATGTATAAAAGAAGTTTTTTTCTATTTGCTTTTAAGTCTTCTATTTCATTTTAGTTTTCCTATCTTCCATATCTTATATAACATTCCCAGAATTTGTTTTTGAAAGCACTTAAACTTATCATTCCTTAATCTTAACCATTGAAAAATCCTTTTATTAATTATTCAATCTTGTTTTTTTTTATTATTATTAATTTCAAAAAAAAAAAAAATATATTTAATATAATTACTTTCTTTTCACTTAAATCTAAATTTAAAGATTCTATAAATCTTCTAAATTCAGAAGAAGATATTAATTAACTTTAATCTTAATCAATTTTTCTAAAAGCTTATTCCACATTTAGATTATGCTTTCTTAAATATTCAGCTATTTTTCTGTATATATCTTATTCCCATAAATTAGATATACTATCGTGAATTAAAATACGTTAGTTTTTATTTGATTATTTATGTTAGTAAATTAAATTATCTAACATATCATATATTTATTCTAAATCATAATAATCAGGGTTACTTCTTAGCGTAAACATGTTTTTTATTTCCTCATTTTTCTATTCTTTTAATTTTATTCCATGATTTTTAAGAACTTTATGGAAATCGAAAGAAGCGATTCCTAAAATATATAGATATAAATATATATAAATAAATATATATATATATATATATATATATATATATATATAATATATATTAATATATATATTATTATATATTATATAAATATTTACCTGATTTAGTCTTTTTTAAAGCAGAAGTTACATCATTTGAACTTTATTTTACAATTCTTTCTTATTCAACAAGATCATAGAGTAATTTAGAGGTTTAATTTTACAATTTTAAGATAATATCATTAAAAATTTTAATAACATTTCCATGTATATACATTTTTTTGTATTAAATAGGAATACTATCAAAAACATAAAAAATAAATTCATCAATGGAAACTTATCCACTCTCATCTTTATCAATATAATCTAGGAGTATATTTACTTTATCATTAGGAATTTAAAGTTAAAGTAATTTAAGAGTATCTTAAAATTCCTCTCTTGATAAGAATCCGTTCCCATTTTTATCAAAAACTGCTTTAAGTTATTTTTTATTATACCTTTTATCTTGCATAAAAAAGAATATTTTTTACATAACGCCTTATACTAATTACTTATTTGACATTTTAGTTTTTTATAGTTATTATTAAGATTACTAAGTATTATTTTCTTAAGCTTTTTCTATTTCTTATTCGTTCTATTATTTTAATTTAGCCAAACTAGTAAGCGCTATATATTCAAAACTTTCCACAAAAGTATCAATACTAATTTCTCCGTAATTTTTCTCATCAAAATACTTATAAACAAGTAATAATTCATCAGCAGTACATTATCTATCCAAAGCTTAAAATAATTTAAGAAATTCTTTTCTATTTATTGATTTTTAATTATTAGAAGTTAGATATTAAAATACTTATCTAGCATCAATTTCTAAGTTTTTAAAAAGTAAATTTACCCTATCAATACAAACAGCTACTGCAGGATAAATGAAATTAATTTTTTCGTTGAAAGTTATAGTTTCTATTTATTATCGAATAGCATAATCGATTAAAGATTGAAAATTTAATTAATCTTGTTATGTTTTTTCTTTTATATTTTTATATAGGAACTACACATCTTGTTATTTTATTTAAACTTACATATAATTAATTAAATCATATAAGTTTTTTTCATTTAATGCTTCCTATTAAGAATATCCAAGTTCTTCAATAAATTCACTTAAACTTTTTTAATTTTATTGCAATTTTTATTTAATTAAAGTATTAATTTCTTATAATCTTAAATTATTTTTTTTAATAGTAATCTCCCCTAAATTATCTTATTAAAAATATTACTATTAAAAATTATTATTTGAGATTCTATTATTAGATGAAAGCGTAATATCACTTAAAGCATTATTAAGTTCACTTAAAGTCATATATTTTTACCATCAACATCAATAGTTTTGAAAAGCAACCTAATCTAATGTATAGAAGCATTAATTCCATAAACTTCACCATATTATTAAATTCAGAAAGATTCATTTTATTAAAATTTTCAATATTAAAATCTTTAAAAATCTATGTAATATTAGCTTTATATTTATCCAAATAATCATTTATTCCATCAACAATTTGATAGATTTATGAGTTTCTTTCTTATAAAATATATTCCAATTTTTAACCTGCTTTTAATGTTTTTTACAGAAAACCTTAATAAGAAATATTGTTTGTCTCGAAATTTGATAATACAACATCTATTTCTTCATTTGAAAGTCCCAATTTTAACTACTAAAGCTTTTATTTACATTAAGTAATGGAAATATCTGGTACTTATTCGCCCGAAAATTCGATAGTTTCTTTTATCTAATAAATTGTTCAATTATTAAAATGAAATTTTCCAATTAACTTTTTTCTCTAAGCTTTTTATATAAAGCTTATGTAAAACAAAATCCCTTTAATTTTTATTAACAAACTAATTAAGAATTCGTACAAAATGTCTATATTTAAAATACGGTACTTTACACTAACCTTCTTTTTAAGAAAAGTCTTTCTCCTCATCATCTTTGTCAAAATCTTCATCGAGAATTCTTAATCCAAATTTATTACTAAAATTAAGAAAATCAGCATTTAAAAAGGCTTTAAAAATCATATCAATTTCCTCATTATCAAATCCGAAAGTAAATTTTTTACAGCTTTCCCTAAATTCATTCAAAGTTATTCTTCCTTTATTATTAATATCCAATTTATGGAAAATCTAATCAAAATTTCCCAACTTTTACACCATTTTGGAAAATTTCTTGATTGTATTTTCTAGACTATCATCAAATTTTATTAATTAAACAGCTCCACTTTCAATAAATCTATTAAAAAATGAATTAAAGCTTATTTTATTACTACTTTCTACTCCAAAAGCCTTATATATTTTATTAAAATCCTCTTCAGGAAAATTTATATCTATATTTTTTAACCCAATATAAAGCTCTAATTTTGAAATTGTATTTGTATTATTTACATCAAAATAAACAAAAGATTCAAATAAAGAAACCTTTTTTTATTCTAATAATTTATATAATTTCCTTAATAAATCATTTGTGACTTCAATTGTACTTTTTGCCTAACTCTCAATTGCAATCATTAATTTCCTATAAAGTTCTTTATAATCGATCTTTTATTATGTTATTTCTATGTATTCTAAATCCTCGTTTGTGAATTCGATTGAATAAGCATCCGATTATTCTGTATTTGCTAATATTTTTTATTTTTTTTAAGGCGATAAACTATATTATTTGCTTTCTTTTTTATTTAAAACTGTACTATTGCTCGTATTTTATCCTAAGGATGATTTATATATTTTATATAATGTCATTAAATGATAATTTTTTATATTCGAAAGACCAAACTTTAGTAAGCAATCTTTTAAATCTTTAAAAAGTATAAATCCGAGGCCTTTTTAATCAAAATCTTTAAATGATTATAATAAATCACATCCTTTTAAGTTTATTAAATTTTTAATATTTGTAAGTAAATTTAAAGAAAAGTCTTTTAAAGGATCAACATTAAAAACTTAATTTTATTAACTAAAAAATTAAAAAAAATTTAATCATAAATATATAACAAAAAATAAATTACGTTAAAGCCTATATAAATTCATTTTTTTTTATTTCATTATTTCCTTCAATATCAATAATTTTCATTAATTTTTTAATTTCAAAAATAGAAAGTCCTAAATTAAGTTATTTCATTCCCAAAACAAATTCTTATTAAGAAATAACACCATCTCCATCTACATCAAATAAATTAAATGCTTTTTGAATAGACATATCATTATAAAATAATGAAGTAGAGAATTTTTCTAAAATCAACTAACAAGCTTTATCGGTAATTTCATCATTAGATTCAATAGTTTTTATTAATTTTTATAAATCATATTTTCCTGTCTGTTCTGGATCCGCAATATACATCAAGTGTAATTTTTCTTTCATTGATAGTTTTAAGTTGAGTGAATTTATAATAAATTTGAATTCATTTACAGGTATTTTCGAATTATCGGTAATAGATAAATTAGTGGAAAGTAAAGAATCCCATAAAGATATTCCATTGTCTTTAAGAATTCCTTTTATTTTAGAAATTAAATATTACTATTATTTAGGATTTATAAAAGAAGCAGTTGCATTCTAATTTTTTTCATTTATTTATTAAGAGTTTTATTTCGAAAGTTTTTTTTTTTCATCATTTTCTTCTTTCAGTTTTTCCTATTATTATATTAATGAATTATTATAAGCAGACATTTCTTAAATTCCTTTAGATAGTATACACATGTTAATAATTTATTTTTTTATTTAGAATTAATTTTCCTCATCTTCATACTCATCTTCAAATTAAGATTACATGGAAAGTATCATTCTTTTTTATTTTGCAATTTATTCACTATTTTAGCAACCCAAAACTGCAAAAGCAAGTACTTATTTTTATTATTATTTATCAAAATCATTTTACATTTGTTCTGCAATTGCTTCAGCGAAAATATCCGCATAGACTAAAGGCCATTTTAATAATTTACTCTCTTATTCTTTTTTGTTATTTTATTTAATATTATTTTCTATTTAAAGTATTTTCTATTTTACGAATCTTTCTATATAAACACAATTTATCTTTGCAATTTATAAAGTATTATTATTTATTTCTGTTAATGCAATTTTCCATATTTCCGGATCAAATGTATTAGCAACTCCATTTTCGCATATATATATTTAATCCAAAATATTTTAAGTAGTAATATTTCTACTTAAATTATCAGTTAAAAAGTTATAAATAACCTCTTTTTCCATTGGAGTTAAAGAAACATTAATTAGATCAAAAAACTAATACAAATCTTCTTTTATTAATTCTCCATTATCATTTTGCATAAATTTCAGTGCATATAAAATATTTACGTGTGGATTCTATTTGTGGGCTTCAACTATGCGTTTCATTAAAAAATTTACGTCTATTCCTGCATAAGGATCTATTACTTTACATTCTTCGGCTTTTTTTATTTATTCAATTTCTTATTTTGATGCGTATTTGTTAAAAAAGTCTTAATAATCAAAATGGTTTTGGCAATTTTCATTTATATATTCTCTCTTTTTTTTTTATTAAAATAAAATAATTTTACATTCGAAAAAAAATAAGAAATTACTTAGAAATTCAATATAAGATTTTCTGAAATTTAAGGAATATTTAATTTCAAAATTCTACAAAAATCTTATATTTCAATTATTCCTTTTTTATCAGAATCTCTATTTTCGCAAGATGAAATGAGTAATTCGATTTTTTCTGGAACTTTAGTTCTCAAAAAGTTAACTAATTCTTCAATAAATATTCTTTTTTTGACAACTACTGAACGTACAACTTCCCTTTTTGGCGAAAGAATAAGTTCTGTAAATGTAAACTTTTTATCTTATTCTTAATTCTATTATTATTATTATTAATATTATTATTTTTATTATTAAATTTTTTCATTTTCTAAATTCTACATTTATATTAATCCTTAATTTAAATAATCATTAAATTTTGTGATTAATTCTTCATGAGAAATGTGACTTTTATCACCTAAAAATAAAATTATTATTTCATCTATATAATCTGATGATATATCCATTTTTCCAAAAATATATCTCAATTAAGCACTTTATATATTATTCATATCATTAAATTTACTAATCCAAGTATCAAAAACATTTTAATTCTAGATAATATATTCTACTTCTTTATAAATATTTTTAGAAATCAAATATTAATCTTTGATGTTATTTTTTCTCATATAATGTAGAAATGTGGTTAATTAAATTGTTTTCTTTTAACTATTTTCATCACAAACACTTATAAACTAGGCAAATTATTTTAACTCTTTTTCAGATATATTTGGTATTTTTAAATCTTATATTCTTTAAATAAACATTCCAGTTCCCATTTACATTAAAGGATTAAAAGCTATTTTTTTTTATATTAATATTATTTTTTTTATTTTTTTACATCCAGCTTATATTGATGATAAACCCATATTTATATTATATGTTAATTAAGATTTATTTATAAATTAATTATCTTCATCATAATTATCTTCAAACATAAAACTTTACTAAACTGGTTCAGCCTCTTCCTTTGTTAAAGGTCTAAATATATATTCTATTGAATATCCTTAATCTAAAAGTGAGTTTTTTATTTTAGCCATTGTATGCAAATATTTGAGCATACCAAAATTTTCATTTGCTGAGAAAAATTTGCCTAGAATATAATAAATTTAAATATTAAAAATTTTAATATATAATATAACCTATAATAAATTTAATATTGATATATTTCTCCTAGCTTTCATGTAATTTCTCACTATAAAATTCAAATAATTCTTTTAACTAATTGATCTCGATTTTATCAAATTTTAAAAAAGACTTCAAGAATTCATCTAATGTTAAATAACCTTGTAAAACACTAGAAATAGAATGTAATTCAAACATTAATAATTTTTTTTATTTTTAATCTAATTTTTGCATTAAATCTTCTATGAGTTCATTTGGTTTTTGTATTTGTCTTAATTTATATTCAATTATTTCACTCGAAAACTTATCTTATAAAACATTTAATTTAATCTTTTAATTTAATTATATTTATTAAAAATAAAAAAAATAAATACTTTGCCAGTAAACATAGGATCAATTTATGATAAGAAAAGTATAAAATCTTATTCGTTAGTAAAAACTTTGATTCTCTATAGAAAACTACTGAAAGCTTATTTAGATATAAATAATTACTTTTCATTCATAATTTAAATTCCTTCCGAAGCATTAATTTATTTGAATTCTCTTTCAAAATTAAAACCTTCTTTTTTTATATAGTTTTTGAGATTTTCCACTAATAAATTAGATTATTATTAAGAAAAAATTTCTCCCCTTTTTTAGCTTAAATTGAAAACATTTATAAGCTAAAAGAACTTATCCCTTTACATCGATAAAGGGTGTAAATTATGGAATTTTTTCAAATAAAAAAAAAGTTCATTTGCCGTCAATTTATTTTTACCATCATATTCAGAAAGGAAAGTTATAAAATACTATCTAGAAGGCAACCTTAAAAAAACTTCAAAAAGAGCATCAACATCTTCAAAAATAGTATACTAAACGGAATCATCGAACCTATATAGGCTAATTTTTTTTAATAAATGTATCATTTTTTAAAGCGCAGCTTCCTGAAGTGTTTTTTTAGTTTTCAAAACATCTAATTAACTAGGTAAATATAAATGATAATTCACACAAGCTTTTTTTCTTCTATAAACCGACATATTTTCTAACTCAAGGCTTATTTTTTTCGGCAAAATCTCATCCAGTCTATTACAAGGAACTTCGATTCTCATTTTATCCATTTAAAATCCTCTAATAGAGCAGGGTATTTTCGGTTCTTTATTAACAAAAGTTACTTTAGACAAATTACAAGTTATAAATATTTCTATTAAATTAATTTTTTTTTACAACTAAACTATTTTATTATTGAAATCAGGAACTCGAACTGTCAATACACTAGCATTATAACATATTTAATTTCCTGTGTAAATTCTCTTTACTTCGCAAAAGCTTTCATTCGAAAGAGTATTTTCTTATAACTTTTTAAATGATAAATTATTATTTACATTAAAATTATCCTAGCTAATTAAAGAAAAAGCTTTACAAACAGGATTCCACAGTTTAATAGTGGAATCAGCCGACATAGAAACAATAAGTTAACAAAAAGGTAAATAAGCAAATGATAAAATAGCTCCCGAATGTGCTCCTTATATAATTTTACTAGGCTTCAGAACCCAAGGAGGGTTAGTTTCATACTAAGCCTAAAAATCCTTTTATAAATTCCAAATAAGTATACTACAATCTGCCTAAACACTAGAATTTAGAGTCTTTTCCCCCGAAATAAGACAACCGGAGTTTGGAACAAAAAAAATAGAAGGAGGATTACATGAAGAATGGCCTTTAAGTTTTGCAAGAATTTTACAAGTAAAAATATCTGTGTTATTTATTATATCCCCACTATTTTTTTTCACTTTAGATGTCCTAGAAACGCATATAATGGAACTCCTGGGACATATAGTAGTGTATATAATTAAATTAAAATCATCTATATAAATTACGCTTTCTATTATGACTTTTTACATAGCTGCATCTAGTGCATTTACATCTTTTTAATCTCCTTTCTTTTCAAAAAAATCTCTTTCTTTGGTTTTTACTTACTTTTAAAATTCATGGTGGTTTTTAATGTTTAAAAATTCCACTGAGTTTAATAAATCTAAATAATTTACAGTACCGATGTCTGTAAAACTTATAGAATTATTCATTATGTAATCAATTTCTTCTTATAAAAGTCCTACAGGTAACCATTTCAAGAAGTTTCGAAATTATTCGCAAGTTAAACTACCTTCATGATATAAATCTTCCTTTAAAATTTATTATTCAACATCGATTCCAGCCTCATATGCCATTTAAAGACTTAAAAAAATATTTTTTCGAGAATTAAATTAAATTCCATTCGAAGAATTTGAACTTGCAATTCCAAAAATAGAAAGAAATTCCTTATAATCAATCAAACCGTTTTTATCTTTGTCAATAAAATCAATTAACTATTATGAAAATTTTAAATTTTCATCATCCTTGCAGATTCTTGATAATATATAATCGAATTAATTACATGATATATATCCTTGATTAATAGAGCCAAATGCTTTAAAAGCATCTTCAATACTTTTTTTTGCTTTTCTAGAAAATTAGAAAGAGAAATTAACAATTTATATGCTCCTTCGGATATTCCTAAAAGATAAAAAAAAAATTATATATATATGTATTTATATATATTTGTATTTTTTTATATATATATATATATATATATATATATATATATATATATATATATACATTTTTTTTAATAATTTTTATTAATTACCTGCTAGCTTTATTACTTTTGAAGAATTATCAACTTTCTTTATTTCATGATATTTTATTATTTCATATAAAAATAAAAACTCTTATTTTTCAATAAATCCTGAATTATTTTAATCCAAGAATTGAACTAAATTTTCTAATTCTTCTTTCAAACTAATTTAATTATCAGCTTTTGATTTAATTAAATTATAAAAAACACTTATGAAATCATTATTTTATACTTTTATTTATCCATTTTCTCCTTTAATAATATTTATTGCGAACAATTTTTCGAAAAATTTTTTATCATCACTTAATAAAGTTCCAATTAATCTAATTACTTCAGCAAGTTTAGTCGACATTTTAAATTATTCAGGTGAAACTTAAAGCGTCTGAAAAACACTTAAAGAAATCGGATCAATAAAAATCAAAGTATTATTAATACAAGTAGCATTAACAATAATAACCGAATGAGAATTTTAACCAATTTCAATAAACTAAGGATAAAGTCCTTCAAATCTATTTCCATAACACATTTCAATTGCATTTTCAGTATCTAAAGCTTCTGTAAAAAGCACAATCCTTCCCAAAGGCATGTTATTATCTTATCCTAATTCCCAAATTTCCATATTCCATTTATCAGTTAGAGTATATAATCTTATAAATTAAATTATATATATATAAATAAAAATTATATATATATATAATATAAAAATAAGAAAAATGTATTTTTTTAAAAAAAATAAAATATATTTATTTGAAACTATTTGAAACTCTAAAAATTAATATTTATTGAAAAATTAAAAATTACCTTCCACTGTTAGCATCAAAAGTAGCATCCAAAATTTTCGAAGGTAAAAGTGGAACTCTAACACTTAAATCTAAATCGAAAAGTTTTTTTTTATTAATCAAATCATATTAATGTAAATGCGATTTTTTATCTAAAAATAATAATCGAGCAGTTCTAGGACATGTAAAAATGCATTTCGGTAGAATATCTAAGCATTCGGCCTCGATATCTTTTACGCATATAAATATATCTTTATTAACGGGTCTGCTTTCATATTTTTATTAAATTTCTTTTGATAAAACTAGACTTTCGCCAATTTCAGTAGCTTTAAATATTATTTAATTTAGTATTTGTTAACATAATTGGATATTTTTTTGCTTTTTTTACTATTAGTTTAATATTTTCTTTTATTAGCCTTCTTTTGTGCCTGTAGGAACATTCGATTTACTTCCTTCTTCGTTATTACTAATAGTTGTATTCATATAATCTTTTACTTTTTTAAATTCATTTAGTTACTTTATTGCTTTAGGGGTTGAGTCATGCAATTTTTAAGATTAAGAGAAAGCTGTTTTCTTATTTTTTTAAGGAACTTGCTTTTTTATATTTTTTTATTAATCTTCATATTATTTCTTATTCTCTTCTTGATATTTTGCTTGATATCTTTTTAATTTTGCCATTATGAATAGACGTTAAATTATTTTAGCATTTTTTTAAAATATTTCTTATTAAATTTGGGTTGTTTAAGGAAATATTAGAGGTATTAATTTTCTATAATTTATATATAATTAGTTTTCTTTTTATTATATAATATTTTGATTTCTTAATTCGTTTTCTTCTTTTTAAGATATTTAGATTTAATTTATTTCTAATAAACCTAAAATAATATTAATATTTTTATATATTATTTCATTATATTAATTATATAAAAAATACTTTAAAAGTCTTAATATTTAATATAATTTTAATTATTTTTTGTATCTTCTAATTATTAAAAATCCTTAATAATCTTTTTCTTAAACATATCGATTTCTATTTATATTAAACAAAAAATAAAATATTTTTATTTTACTATTTCCAAATTTAAATCTTAATTTTAAGCTTAAAGAATTTATTTAAATTCCTTATAAAAATAACTTTTCGAACATACAAAAACTCAGCTTTTTAGTATAATAATTAGTAAACAGGAAAAATATAGCTTTAATAATTTCTTAATCAATTTTTTCTTAATCATCCTAAACTGTAAATATATAATTCAATAAAATTTAAAATTCTTCAAAATCTAAATAACCAAATTATTTCTAACTAAATATATTGAATAAATCTCTTAAAGATTTACTACTTTTTTTCAACTTTTCGTTTATATAAAAGCTGATAACCTTTAATATATTTTATAATTCAGTCTATCTTTTAATAAATATTTGACTTCTGATTCTAGCGTCTCTTGCTCTTTTTTTCTTTTCTACATTATTTATTTCTAATTCTATTTCTTGTATAGATTATTATGATATTTTTTCTATTATTATTTTGAATATAAAGATAAATTATATATATATATATATATATATATATATATATATATATATATATATATTTATTATTTATTATAATACATATTAATTATTATTTATAATTTTCTTAATTTTATCCTTTGTAATCTTCTTCATAATGTAGTTTTGTCAAATATTCAACTCTAGTAAGTACGTTTTTATCTACATTTTATTCATAAAACTTTTTTGCTTCACTTTCAAAATCTTATTATTCTTTTTATTTCTTTTATTTTTCTTATTTCTTTAATTCAATTAATATATCTTGATTAATTTTTTCTTTTTAGACTTAATGTTCATAAATTTCCATAAATTAATTTTTATCTAAGTATTTGTTTTTTTATTAATCTAAATAATTAAAAACATTTCTAATTTGAATTTTGCTAAACCTAAAAAATAAAATAATATAAAAATTATTTAAACTAAAAAAAATAAAAACTCTTTATTAGTATATTTCATTATAAAATTAATAAATTCATCTTCACTTATTTTGTTATAATTTCTAGCTTCCAAGCTTGCTAGAAATTCATTTGAATTATTAAATCTACTAATTAGATCTTTTCTAATTTCCCCAATAATTTCTTTAGGTTAATTTAAATCCTAAAAGCTATCACCCGAAAATTTTTTTGCCTACTATCCAAATATAACATTTAAGAATTCTTTAAAAGATACTTTATCATTATTATTTAAATCAAAAATTCCATAAGCATCATCTAAAATTTTTTCTTCTAAGGTAATATTAGCTTTTTTAAAGGATAATTTAAATTCCGTTTTTGAAATATATCCATTATCATTTTTATCCAATGTTCTAAAAATATCTTTCAAACTTTAAGAACATTATGATATTTTTTCTCTTAAAATATGAATTACATTATCTGCTGATAAATTCATCGTTTCTTTGATTTTTTCCTATTCGCTTTTTGGTTGATTTTATTTTATTGTTTCTTCTAATAATCTTTATAGTCTTTATTCTTCTCTTCTTTTCAAAACCTATACATAATCCTAAAAAGCTTACCCAATAATATTACAAATATACCTTTCATTATTTTTTTTAACTCCATTAATTCTTTTACTTCCGTCCTTATAATCTATTCTTAAAAACTCCTTACTTAAATGTGACATTTGGCTTTTAAACCTTGTCATATTTGCAATGAGTCGAATAGCAAAAATTAAGTTTTATTTTTTTTCAAAACATTTTAATTTAATTATCATTTTTAATAAAGCCTCCTCATTTGAAAATTCGAAAAATCCAAAACGTTTTAAACATTTTAAAAAATCTTCGTATTTTACAAATCCTCTCCAGGCTTTCTTCTTTTTTTCTTTTAATGCTAATGATTACTCTCCTGAAATTCCGATTCTTTATTTTATGTCTATCTTTAAGTTTTTCTCCATTTCGCTTATTATTTATGTCATTTGTTTTCTATTTTATATTAATAAATCATGAAAATTAATAAAGGTTTCTTCCAATTTAGTTTTTTCTCCCAACTCGATATCTTGTTCTGCTTATTAATTTTCATTACTTCTTTAATATACTTGTTTCTTGCCTATTAACTCGGCATATTTTGTTATTTTCTGATTTTATCTATTATCTTTTTTTAATTATTCCAAATTTCGCTATAATTAAGAATTTAATTAATTATGAGGCTCTTCCTTTTTTATAAAATTTATTATACTGTCATGTTTTTCTTGCATCTAGATTTCTTTCATTTTATTAAAATTTTATGTTTAAAGAATTTATTGTGTTTTTTCATATTCACTTATTGCGTTTGTCTATTAGAAATCACTTTTGATTTCAATTTAATTATCTAAACCAAATTTTACACTTTTCTTAAATTTTAAATTATTGGAAGAGTTTTATTATAAAGAACTTTTATTATTGTTCATTTATATTTATGTTGATCAATTTATATATATATTTTTTAATTTTATATAACAAATTTTTTTAAATTTTTTAAATATTTTTTTTTGATATATTGCCTTTATATATATATATTTTATGTTGTTGTATTTCGGAACTTAAAATATTTATTTTAGTATTTTTAAAAATTTTATTAAATTTTTATATAAATAAATATGAAACTTAAACAATTTTTTAACATTTGATTTTTATATATTTTATAAATAAAATTTGTTTTATTTTTTATAATATTTCTAAAAATAATATTATTTTTGTAAAAAGAAATATAAATTTACATTAATTTATAAATTTTTTCATAAAAAAATTATATTTATTGATTGGTTTAATAAATTAAATACAATTTATAATATAAGGATAATATGAAGTTTATTTTTTTTTCCAAAAAAAATTATAAAATAATTCTTTTTTAAAATTATTATTTTTAATAAAAATAAAATATAAATAAAAATTCTCCGCTAACTTAAATTATTTTACTTTATAAATATTTAAAAAGATTTAAATGAAAAAAAATATTATAAATCAACTTTATTTAAAAATAAGAAAAAATCAAATAACATATTAATATTATTAATTATAATAACAAATCAAGATTTTTATTTATTATAATAAATGATATAATAAATGATAAATGTTAGATAAAATATTAAAAATAGCAAATAAGTAGTTTAAAAAATTATCGCCTCCGAATCTGTATAGTACCCAAATTTAGAAGTCGAATTTAAAGTTAATAAAATTTAAAAATTATAATTTATAAAAATATTAAACAAAAATATATATAGAAAGAAAAAAAAAGTTACTAATCGTCATTAAATGTATATTAAAAATATATAAAATAATAAATAAATGCATAAATAATTTAAGTAATTCAATTAATTTTGTTTAGGAAAAACAAGAGGATGATAAAAAGAATTATGAACAGTAAAATAATTGCGATATAAATTAGGTAAAAAAAATATGATAATTTTATTCGATATTATTATATATTTATTTCTTTTTTTTTACTGAAGAAATAAAAATCTATAGCAAATTTGTAAATAAAACTGCATTATATATTAGATTCAAGGTATAAATAATTAAAAAAAAAAGAAAATATATTTTATATATAAATGAAGAACTTTCAGTTTTTTTATGGTTTTGATTTGTATATTAAATTATGTATCTCTATGCTTATACAATTATGATATCGATAAATAAGATATTGAACTAAATAATACATTAAGAAAAATTAGTATTAGTTGTACTAGTTTCCTGTTTTTAGAATTAATTTTATAAATGTTTTAAAAAGGGTTAATAAATGGCGATAATGCTTTTTTTAAAAATATGGTCGATACTTTAGTTCTTATAGGTTTATTATCAAAGTAAAAAAATAATATATGTTTATAATTGAAAAATAATTTGATTATTTAATAAAAGTTTATTAATAATTCTTTACATTATTTTATTTTATAAAATTTTTATTAAATTTAATCTTTAATTTTTAGTTTGATTTTCTTATTTCATCATAATGCTGATCCTTATTTTTTAATTGCAATTAAAGTTTTTGCTTCTTTTTGCCATATAAAAATTACACAACATATTAAATTTCTATAAATTTTACTGAATCGCTTTATAAGAGCTTTAATTAAACTAAAATATAGTTTTATAAGACTTTTAGTAGTAATGATGTTTTACAGTATTCTTGGTTTATAACTATTTAAAGATAATATGAATTACAGATGCAGAATAACACCTTATCCTTAATATTAATATGGTAATATAAATAAAATTTAAATAATAATAAATATATAATATTTATAAATTAGATAAATGGGAAATCTTTAATAACATACCTTTCCTGTGTGGAAAATGGTCATGCCCTGAAAAGTATTAAAACATATAATAATTAAATCTAACTATTTAATATATATTTTTTATAACTAGTTCATATTGTCGATCTCCAAAAGAATTTGACGTTACTTTTGACGAAAAAGAAACAGACATTGTAAACATGAATTTTAGTTTCACAAAATTCGATAACATAGGCTATTCGTTTTTAACAATATTTCATTTAACAAGAACAACAGGATGGAGTTCGATTACTTTTTTAGTAAAATTAAATATATAAATTTGTTTAAAATATAAATAAATAAATATATAAATATATATAATATATAAATATATATATATATATATATATATATTTTTAGCATTGGAGACATACAGAAACTGTGATTGTTGGATTTTATGTCGTATCTGTAATGATAATATGTGCCTATACATTAGCAAATATGATATTAGCAATTCTTTATTAAAGCTACGAAGAATAAACATAAGTTAAAGATTTAAAAGAATATAGTATTTTTTTTTATTAAATTACTAATTATCTTTTTTATATAAATAATTTTAGAGGACAAATAAGTATCAGAATAAAATAATAAGGTTACTTTAGATTAATTAAAAAACAAAGTAGTTAGTAGTATGTAAATTGAATCTTAAATATACGAAGAATCTTAAGAAGAATAATTTATTAAATAATAAATATAATTTTAAGTAAGTGCATTTTAAAAAATGAAATATATTGAAAATTCTTCGAACAAATAAAAGAGTTTATAAAAAGTTAAATCTGCGTTAAAAAGAATAATATTTAATATAAAAATGGATTATCATTCGTATACAAACATGAATATTTTTAAGAAAATGATATATTCTAATTATTACAAAACATTTTAAAATTTATATATTTTTGTCTAAATAATTATGTTATTAATTGATAGAGAACTTATATCTAAAAATCAAATAGATATTTCATCTAAATTGACTAGATTATTGATTATATGTAATGCTTTGATATTATAATAAAGGTATAAAAAAATATAATAATTAGAATTTATAAATATAAAGGTTTTAATTCTTAATAAAATTTACTTTAAAAGTGCATTGAATATTATAGATTTAATAATATTATTTTTAGTTTTATTAACTCGTTTAAGTTTATTTTAAGACAAACCAATGTATATAAGTATTATAAAAGGAATTTAAATATTTCGTATTTTCCAGGTTAATTTTTTCCAAAATAATTTTTTTAACATAATATATTTTTAAGGTTATTAAAACAAATAATATACTTAAGCCAATTCATTAAATGATTTAATATTTTGTTTACTCAGCCAAAGAAATTTTCTAATTACTTACCTTGATAATAATATATGCATTAATTTTAGGTTTATTAGGATATTAAATATTTCAAAGCAAAGCCAAGTATTAATTAAATTCTTATATTAAAGATTAAATAAATGGTTATTCTCCTCGAGTAAATTTTGATAATATTGAAAATGCCTTTCAAGCTGTTTTATTAATGCTTTTAAATGAAGAATGGCATATGGCAATGTATAATTTTATGAGAACTTATAGTGAAATGTCGTGTTTCTTTTGGATATTTATAGTTAGTACTGGAGAATTATTATTAATGAAATTACTAATAGCAATTTTTATAAATAAATATTTATATTTTATTAAATAGTAGAAAGAATAATCTAAATAGATAAACTAGATTATATCTTAAGCATTATTATAAATACAAGGTATAGATGTAGTTTCAGAAAAACAATCAAATACAAAAAGATATGATGAATAATAAAAACAAATTAATACAAATTTAAAATTAGCAAGCTTGCAATATAGCAATATTTAAATTAGTCCATAAAAAGAACATAATTATGATATTAGTAATTAAAAATTCCCTCAAAATTCGAGTTTATCTAACAGGTAAATAATTGTTAAAGAAAAAAATTAAATTAATTATCGATAAAATAGTTAAGATAATACATTCTAATATCTATAAATAAACAATTAATAAAAATTATAATAGTAAACTAAAGAAATATAAGCACATAAATTGAATAATGAATAAGTTTATTTAAATTATGAAAGTCCAAATTATTTAAATAATATAATTTAGAATGAATAAAACATTTAACCTAAAGAGATTAATGATGAATAAAATAAAAATAAAAATAAAGAAAACATTAATAAAATTAAAAAATCAAAAATTTTATGATTATTAGAAAAATCAAAATAAATATCTTAAAAAATAGATAAAAATTATAAATTTTAAAATTTTATGATAATGGTATGTTTAATAAATTGTATATTAATGCCTTTTAATTCACCGTTAATGAATCCTCATTCAGAATTTTCCTAAATGTTAAAATATTTAGACTATTTAATTACATTTTTATATTTATTCGAAATATTAATTAAAATGTCTGCTTAAGGATATCAATATTTTAAAAATTAAGAAAATAAATTTGAGTTTGGACTCTTTATAGTTAATGTTTTAAATTTTATTTTTTCTTAGTAAACTATGATTCTTAAACTGTTTAGACCCTTAAGAATTTTTAAATTAATCAAATACTTCTAAAGCATGAAAATACTTATAATTTCATTATTTAAATCTGTTTCTTTGCTTATTAAACTTGTTATTTTTGCTTTTTGTTTTATGTTAATACTTGTTGTTTATCCTTTAAAAATTCTTAAAGGGAAAATGAAATATTGTACTCTTTCTGAAGGAACAGATATTCATTCTTGTATGGATTTAGGAGGTGATTGGCTAAATTAAGATTTTAATTGGGATAATACATTAATTAGCCTTTTTAATTTGTATCTAATTGCAACTAGTGAAGGATGGAGTGAATTTATATTTTAAGCTTAAGATGCCTATGAGTTAAATTATGGACCTGTTAGACTTTATAATAAATACTGGTCTTATTTTTTCATAATTTTCTTTTTTATAATTAATATATTGGTAATTAATACTTTCGTAGGCGCATTAATTGATAAATTTAGCAACATAAATAACAAATATTGTATATTAATTATAAATATTTTATTTAAAAAAAAAAATATTTTTTATTTTATAAAATAGTAAGTTAATAAAAAATTATTGTATTCAAAGATTAAAAATATAAAACTAATTCAGCTGATTTACCAAAATAAATGACTAGTTAATAAAGTTTATGGCTATAAATTAAAAGATCTATATATTCTGAATGCCCTTTAAAAAAAGTATTATATATAATTGTTTATTATTTCCTTAGTTTTAATTTTTAAAAAGGCCATTCCTCCAAAAAAAGAAGATAGATTAAGATTCATATTATATGAATATATAAAAAATAAAAGATACAAATTTTTAATAAATTTATCTATTATATTATCTATTATATAATTTAGTATTGAATATCAAGGATAATCTGAGATTTATTAACTTATATAAGGTTTAAAAACTATTTTTTATTTATTTATATATTTTTTTTAGATATTATAAACTATATACTACTGTTTATATTGGCTTTAGAAGTATCTATTAAATTTTTTGTTTAATAAAAACAGGTTTTTATTAACAAAATGAATATATTTGATATATTTTTGTTAATCACTAATATAATATAAGTTGTTTTAATAAACAAAATAGACGATAATGATATTGTTAATTTGTAGACATTAAAAAATATTTTTTAAATGTTTAAAATATTCAGATTTTTTAGAGTTGTTAAAACTTTTAAACTATTAGAAGATATTTTTAATTTATTATTTTAAATTGTTCCTCATGTTACATCAGTTTTATGTTTGCTAATAATTATAATTTATATTTATGCGGTTATTGGATTATATACATTTGCTTATTTAAAACCTTAATAATATGTAAATGGTTATGATTTACATTTTAAAAATTTCAGTTCTTCTTTCTTTACTTTAATGAGGGTAGCTTCTGGAGAATAATGGTTTTAAATAGCTGCAGATATTATAAGATAATAATAACCTAATTTTGTGTGTTTTAAGATTAAAGATTATAATGAATATATTAAATATGGTAAATATATTTTTTTATTAACAAACATAAACTTAATAATATTAAAATAAGGCTTAAATGAATGTGGTACAAAGTGGGGATATTTATATATTTTTAGTTTCCATTTTTTTACAAGTTTAATAGTATTAAACTTATTTATAGCCATTATATTAGATAGTATGATGACTCAAGATAAAGCAAATAGTACTTTCTAATTATTAAAGATTAAAAACTTATGGCGTAAATATGATAGAAAAGGATATGGATTTATAAATTTTGTTGATTTTTGGCAATTTACATCTAAAATTGCATTAATATATGGAGTTAGAAAAGATGAATTAGTAAAAATAGAAAATAAAAAAAGTTTTCTCAAATTTTTGGATATACCTATATATGCTCAAATAAATGAAGACGGAACGAAAATCTTTGGAATTCGTTTCCATGATGTAGTAATTAGATTTACATAAATATCTTTACTTTTAAAACATGGAGTTATGATGTAAAAATATATTTAATATAATTTTTTTTTTAAATAAAAAAAGTGGAGAAGGAGTTCCTTAGGAAACTGAAAAAGATTTAAATTAATTTTATTATGAATTAGACTAAAAAACTAATTTTAGAGCGGAAAAATCTTATCTAAGGTCTGGAGATATTGCAGTAATTCTTTTATTATAAAGAAAGTTAAAGCGATGTATTCGTTTAGTAAAAATGAAACAACTTGACAAGAAAAAAACAAAAGATCATAAATAAATTGACTAAGTTGGACTTGTACCAAATTAAGCAAGCGCTATACTTATGAATGTTTTATCTTATAATTTTATTGAATTTTAGATTAATGAGGATATGAAATAAAACAACTTTAATTAAAAATGTAATTAGTAATTAAACTAGAATCTATAAATTTTAAATTAAAATGATTGTATAAAAGATTTAAATAAAAAATGATTTTAAATTAAAAAACAAAAATATTTAAAAATAAAAATATTGAATGATAGATAGAGATGGCGTAAAAATATTTGCAACACTAAAATTAAATAAAATTTTTTAATTATATATATCTTAAATATTTTTTTTATAGATTTTTATTTATTTTTATTATAATTTATTAATAATTATCGAAAATCTTAAAAAATATATATATATATATAAACATAAACAATTAATATAAATTATTAAATAATATATAAAAAAAATACAAATTAAAAATAATAACGATAAAATAAATAAAATTAAGAAGATAATTAATATAAAATATATATAAATATATTCATTTATTTATCAATTAAAAATTAAAAAAATAATTATTCAATTAGTATAATAAATCCAATTTTTAAAATCTTAATTAGTGATATCAGGTATATGCATATTTTTGGCATCTAATTTATAAACAATTTAATATTTACTAAAAACAGACTCATAACTAATAGTATCTGTATCACTTTTGAAATATTTCCAAAAATTTTTAATAAAAATAACACATTATTAAAATTCATCTACACTATAATTATTTAAAAAATCAATTCTTTTAATTTAAAATTAAATTTCATTTTTGTACTTCATAAAAGCTATAAACAAACAAGAACTAGCTAAAAGACTTTATTTATATTTTAAACAAGAATAATTCAAAAGAATTAAATCAGCAATAAACATTCCCAAAATAAAAACTTTATGTGGAACATTAAGAAGGGTATATATAACTTTCATAAAATGAGCGACAGTACCAGAATTTAACTAAAAGTTTAATATTTTTAATATTTCTTTTTCCATTTCTATTAATTAATATGGATTGTATTCATCAGCAGTAATATAAGCATATTCTAAAGCGTTTTCTTATTTATAATATTCTTTAGATCTTTCATTAAAAACACTAAAAAATATTAATATTATAAAAAATATATGTAAAAAATAATTATATATATACTCAGCTATTTTCATACAACAGACTCCAACTAATTAAAGTTTTTATTTTTAAACATTCATTGAGGATAAAACTCTAAAAAATTAAGAACATATAAATAAATTTATAAATTTTAATATTTATAAAAATATTTTTATTTTTATTTTTATTAAAAAAATATGTATATTTTTATATTTATATAAATATATAAATATTTTTATAAATATATATATATATATATATATATATATATATATATATACATATATATATTTATTTTTTTTATTATTATTTTTAAAAAAAACTTTAAATTACCTATCAATAAATGATATACAATAATGAAGAGTTTCATCCTAAACTTCAAAGTGTACACTCACATCTATAAGCCAATCAACCAAAATAAGCCTCATATTTTCATTAATGAAACTTTATTTTTGCATATAATTAAAATCAACTTTTAATTTTTCTTCCGCATTTTTTTAAATTATTATACATTTAACTTAAGAAACAAACAGGAATATTTTCAACTGAATAACATTTAATAGCTTAATTACTAGAGCATTTAAATATTTTATCCTTATAATTTTTATAAATAGAAGATATATAATACTTAGACAATTTATTTAAAGAATTAATAGTAGGTAATTTAATATCATCAAAAAAAGGATGATTTAATGCACTTTCAGCTGAAATTCTTTCATAAGGATTAAGTTTAAGTAATTAAGATAATAAATCTATTCCTTAAATACCTAGTATATTTCCTAAGCTTTTTAATTTTTTGAAAGCTAATTCTCTATTCGGGATCATACTTCGAACTAACTTTAGTATTTTCTCACTTTTAGTTGGAGCGAAAATTGCATTCATGTCAATTTCTTCCCATTTAGGGAAAGCTTTTTTATAATCCAAGCTATTATCGCACATTAAATTTAATATATTTTCATTTGGAGAACCCAAAAATCTAAAAATTTTAAAAAGTTATTCGATTTCAGAATCCCCTTAAAATAAAGGTTCATTTAAGGCTATTTCTGCTAATAAGCATCCAAAAGCCCAAATATCAATTTCTTAAGAATATGAGCTTTTTCTTAATAATAATTCAGGAGCTCTATACCATAATCTACGAGCCTCCCTTCCTGATCTTTCTCTGTCTTTTGGATCTTCAGGTGTGTAGGGAATATGAGGTATTTATACATGTTTTGAAAGGGCAAAATCTGCTATTTTTATTAAACTTTCTTCTGTAAGTAGTATGTTATCAACCTTTAAGTTACGATGAATTATTCCATTATGATGAAGGTAGTTTAATCCTTAAAGAATTTAATATGATAAACTTTTTAATACTTTTAATGGAATATTGTATGATAATTAATTATTAATCTCTTTATTTGATTCAACTTTTTAAGGTTCTGATAGCTTAGCACAGTTTTTTAAATATCCTTTTAAATTATATTTTTGTTATTCATTTACTATTTAGACAAATTCATTTTGTACTTCTGCACATACTATTCTTTTTTTTTTTAAATAATTTTTATTTTTAAAAAAAATAAAATACTAATTTATATTGGGATGATCTAAGTTTTATAAATAACTTAATTCTCTTAAAATACTTGTAGGAATTCCATCATCTTATCCAGCATTACTTACAAGTACATTTATTTTTCTTATCATAACCTAAAAAAAAATATAAAGGTATTATAATAAAAAGTAAAATAATAAAATTATTATGTTTAAATTGTTAATGTTTTTTTTTTTTTTATAAAAAAAAAAAGAAAAAAAAAAAAAATTTAAATTGTTTTTATAAAAATTTATTATTTTTAATTCTATGTAATAAGTTTTATTAATTTTACTTATTATCCATCTATACGTGAAAAACCTTTAAAAAGTTTTCCTTTAGACCTTCTTTCTACAACAACTTATTATTTTTAATATTTTTCGTTAACACTAAATGCTTAAAACTTTCCTAAATATTTCCATAGCTTAGTGTCTGTAGAAAACTGATTGAAATATTTGTTTACTCTAATAACGTTTAGATATATATCAGAAGCTTTAAGAAAAGAAAGTATTATGAAATGTAGTTCATAAGGAAGATTAATAAAATTATATTGAGTTTCTTGAGTTTATTAATTATTATTAAACTTGTCAGATAGCTTTCCATTGTTCTATACTTTTAATAGATTATCATATCTTTTATATTGTTTTTAATTTATTAGTTAATTTGAGGTATAATTACATAAATTAAGTTTATTTTCTTAATCTTATAGACAATATCTTTCTTGTTTTATAGGAGAAACACTTTGTTATTATTTATTTTATTTTTAACTTCCTTTCTTTTTTTAATCGTTTTTCATATTATTAATTTTTTTTTTATTGGTTTATAATCGGAATAATTTAAAAAATCTTAATTAAAAAAAAAAATTGATAATTTAAATTTTTTGCAAATACTATATTTTATTTAATTCAAAAATTTCAGATTATAATGTTTTTATTTTCTTTATAAAATATATATATATATATATATATATATATATATATATATATATATAAATAATATTATTTAAAATAATCTATTTGATATATTAAATTATAATAAAAAATATAATTAAAATTTAATATTAAATTAATATCATTTCAATATTTTATAAAAACATTCAGAATACTTAAATATTTATGTATATAGCATATTATTTGACTTTTTTAAATCAAAAATATTTTATTTTTATAAAATGATTACTTTTATACTTATATTTTACTTTTAGTTAAATTTTAAAAATAATATTATTTAAAATATTTAAATTTGAAAATAATAATGTTTTTTATTATTTCTAATTTTTTGTAAATATTAAAAAATTATTTTTATTTCTCAATTTATATTAATTTTATTATTTCTTTTATTTTTGCAATTATATAAGTACTTATTTATTATTTATTTTTATATTGATTTCATAGAATTTTATTTGTAAATATTATTATTTTAACAATTAAAAAAATAAATCTTTACAAATAATTATATTACTTATTAAAAAAATTTAATTAATTAAATTAAAGAAAATATCCATTATTATTTTTTATATAAGAAAAAAATGATATTTTTATTAAAAAATGCAATAATAAAAAACACAATTACTTATAGGTAATTTAAAAATATTAGCAACACTGATATTTTATTAAAAATAAAATTATATATCAAATGAATTGTTCAAAGTGTCATAATATTAGTTTTTGCAGTCTTTTTTAATCTTCTATACTCATTTATTACAAATGAAAAGTTAATATTATATATAAAATTTATTTTTAATTTAGGTATTGCAAATATTTCAAAGATACCTATAATATAAATTACTGAATATTAAAAACTAAAATAACAATATAAACATAATGTTTATAAAAAAATAAAAGTATAACAATAAAAAAAGAAACTTATTTTCATAAATTATAAAGAAATATTTATATAAATTAAAAAATAAAAACCAAAATAATTTCAATTTCAAATTGTCAAAATATAATAAAACTTAAATTACTAAAAAAATAAATCTAAAAAGATTATATTACAAATGGACTAATAATTAGATTATTAAATATTTTATGTAGATCATGAAATAATATCCAGAAGATACAAACACGTTGGAGTATTAGGAAAAGGAAGAGATTTCATGTATGAAGTACCAAGTGTAATACACATGATGTAAGATAAATTTAATGAAAAGAAGGTAATAATGTAGATATTTCCAGCATTAAACGAAGAAATATTAAAGATGAAACTATATCAATTAAAATAATCAAATTTCGACAATTATATATCAAACTGGATTCGAATAATAGGTTATACAACAAAGAAATAGAACAAATCGACTTCAGATTTAATAATATTATATTAAGTAGATGGAATAATAGGACCTACTTTAGAAAACATAATATCAAAACACAAAAAAGACAATTAAAGTTTCTCTGAATAAGAAATTTTAGAGTACATATATATAATGTGTGAATCAATGAAAGTATCTTAAACTTCAGAATATTTAGATTTAAGCCCTGTAAATATTTTTGTTCCTCCAGAAAATACTCCTACAAAAGCAAAATATTATATTTCTAATTGTGGTCTAAGTTTTAAAGGTACAAAATGGGATAAAAAGTTTTATTGTCCTACGGATAGTTTTTTTACAGGTAAATATTTTTCACTAATATATATATATATATATATATATATATATATATATATATATATATTTATATATTTATATATATATATATATATATTGAATGTTTTTATATAAAAAAAGTCAAAATTAGTGAAAGAAATGCACATATGGCAACTATAAGTAATATTTTTATTATTGGAATGGTTGCTTTGTAAATGGCCACTTTTAATGATTTATAAGATTTATATGTTCAAGAAGATAAAATGATAAGGGAAGACCTATTAATTAAAAAGCTTGATGATTTTAAGAAATAAAATAAAAAAATATATTCTGAATAATTCATTTAATTATTAACACATATGCTTTCCATAAAAGAAGAAAAAAGATTATTGTTAAAATCAATTTTTGAAGAACCCGAATATTAAAAGCTTTTTAAAAACGAAAAACAATATTCCACATAAATATAAGTTGAGAATTCCTAAAAATATGAAGGAATGCTTAAAGGATAAGTTCCAGAAGGGAATGGAAAAATAACTTATTTAAATCAAACTTCTTATTCAGGAAACTTCTCTTAAGGACTCAAACATGGTTATGGAGTTTTTTTCGATGGAAAGGGGAATCATATTTTTGGAGAATGGGAAAAAGATAAACTTAAAAGTGGCGGAAAATGTTTGAAAGGGCAATTTATATATGAAGGATAATTAAATGAAGATTTTTCAATTGAAGGTAAAGGAGCTTTAATGTACACTACTATTAATAATAGTTAAAATAGCCCTATTTATTATGAAGGCGAACTTCTAAGATGGATAAAAAACTAATGGATTATAATACTACAAAGATGGATTTAAATACATAGGCGAATTTAAATAAGATAAAAAATAAGGAAAAGGTTAATTGTTTTGGCCTAAAAGTGTAAAAAACTGGGTTGGAGAATTTATAGATGATCAAATGCACGGAAAAGGTAAAATGACAATTTTTAGAAACGAGGAAAGCAAAGAAATAGAAGTTGAATTCGAAAAAGGAATTGAAAAAAATGGATAAGAAATTTGAAACAAATATAAATATATGTAAAGTTCTATATATATTATTTTTAATTTTTTTTTTATAAATAAAAATTTATTAAATATTGTAATTATTATTATTTTATAATTTGTTAGTTTATTAACTTAAAATAAAATTTAATATAATTGACTTTTTATTATTATTATCGTTAAAGTTCATATAATATTATGATCTTAAAAGTCATTATTATTAAGATTCTTAAAATTAGAATTTAATATATTATTATTATTGATTGAAATTATTTTTTTTTTAGAATTTAAATAATTTAAGTTGCCTGAACAGCATTGTAAAATGTCAAAATACTTATCTACTGAATTGATTACTTATTCTTAATTAATCAAATCACTTAAAGGGCTTTATTTGTTTGGTGTAATGAAATGTTGTTCATTAATTACTTTGTTTTCATTATTATAAAAAAGTTTATTATCATTATTATTAAATAATTTTTTATCATTATTATTAAATAATTTATTATCATTATTAATAAATAATTTATTATCATTATTAATAAATAATTTATTATCATTATTATTAAATAATTTATTTTCTTTATTATGAAATAAATTATTTTCATTATTATTAAATAACTTATTATCATTATTATTAAATAATTTGATTTCGTTATTATTAAATAATTTATTTTCATTATTATTAAATAATTTGTTTTCATTAATTTATTATTTATCAAATTAATATCCAACATCATTATAGGTATTTTCTTTAGTATTTTTCAATATCATTTTTTCTTTATATTTTTCTTAGTTTTTACTACGACCTTAATATTTCTAAGGAGTACAAAAGTTTTCATTATTAAATTTCATAAAATGAGGAGGAGGATGTACGCCATGCATTTAAGGATGTAAATGAGAAGGCAAAACAACATATCTACCTAATTTTTATTAATTATGATCAAATTATACAGGAATAGGATAAAAGTTTCCAGTGTTTCTTCCCAAGTATATAGGTGGAGGAGGTGGAGGATGTTAATTTCCTTATTTCAAAGGAAAATGAAGAGGTATTAAATGAGGAGTAGGGTAATATTACATATGTCTATTATTATTTTAAGAAGGATGATTAATAACACAAACAATTGGACGTTAATTAGTAATAATTTTAGGAATTTCTTTATTTTTAAGTTCTTCTTTTTGAGGAGATATATTTTAGGGTGATTTGCATTCTTTTAAAGCCGAGATCAAAAAAGAAGCAAAAGAGGGATTTTTCTAAACATAATTTTTCACTGTTTATGGAGTTTTGAGTATTTTTTCTAGATTTTTAGGATTAGGAGTATCTTTTTATTAGAAGATTTACTTTTTTAGATTCTCGAATTCTATATTATTATTAGGAATTCTTTTAATAACATCTTTTACAGTACTATTATCAATATTTTCATTCAAGGTATTATTATTATCTTTAGGAGTAATAAAATGATTGTTTTTCTTACTACTTTTATAAATTTTCTTACTAATTTTTTTCTTTACTGTAATTTCTTACTTTTCTTACTAGTCTTTTTATTCCAAAAGCTTATCATTTTCTAAAAATTTCATTATTTTTATTTCTTATTGTTTAAATTATTCAGAAATAGAGTATTATATTTTCTCATTTTTTTCTTTCAAATCTTTATATCTATTCATAAACTCAGGAATTCGTTTCTTCATCGAAGAGTTCCAATGGTTCTTTATAGCATTATCGGTTCTTCCTCTTAAATATCTTGTTATATAAGCCCATTTATTTCCAAAATGTCTATGACATAAAAATAATATCCATTCTTCATCTTTCTACCAAGGAAACTTATTTATTTCAGGATTTAAATGATTATACCATCTCTCACGACATTATTTACCTATTCTTCCAGGAATATGTTCTGCTATATATGTCCATTTTTATGGACCATGTTCTTATACTAATTCGATTATTTTTTAATCTTACTCATCTGTCCAAGGCATCTTTTTAGCTTTTGCTTGCCTTTTATTTTTCTATTTGTGAATAGATTTTTATACAGAATTACATTATTCACTTTTAGTTTTATCCTTTTATTCAGATTATTATAGATTGTTTGATTAATCTTCAGCTAAGATTCCCTCTTCTGAAGCTTTTTCCAAAACTTCTTGTAGGTTTAATTTTATTGATTGAAGAGATCTATTTTTTAAAAATAAAAATATATGAATATGTTTAATTAAAAATAATATTTTTTATTTATTGTTTTTTGCAATTTACTAGTTTTCATTCGAAATGTGATGGATAGAATTTTATGGAATTTGAATTTCAAACATAAATTTTAATTTATTTTTATTTTTTTTAATATAAATAATATATTTTATAAAGTTAATTTTAAAATATAATTTATAATCGCTTTTTATTTTTTTCTTGTTTTTTTATTTTTTTTGGTGTGTTTTTTTATTTAATTTTAAAAAAAAATCAAAATTGAATTATTTTTATTTGAAAAAAGTACAATCGACATAAAATAAAAGCTTAATTATATAATATATGAAAAAAAAAGAACTAATTAATTATGAAAAAAAAAAAAAAATCAAAATTAAAAATCAAAATTATAAATGTCAAAATAATAAATGGAATTTTGTTTTTTATCTTATATATATTTTTTTTTTCTTAAATAATTTAAAATTCAAATTTTTATATTTAGTAAAAAAATTTAAAATTTAATTTTTTTAATTATTAAAATCTCTTAATTTATATTTAAACCTTAATATAATTATTAAATGTTCCTTTATATATAAAAATATAAAAATAAATATGATTTTAAATCAAAAAGCAATTTTGATTAAATTAAATTTAAGCAATATATTAATGTATATAATATTTTATTAGAAAATAACAAATTAATAAAAATTAGTAGGATTATTTATATTTTACAATTTATTATTTATAAATATTATAAGTATATATTTTTTCTATACGTTTAATAAAAATTTTCGCACCAAAATTCTTTTTTAAATATATACAAATGATTTTATAAAATGTAATTAATATAAATAGAATTAAGAATGTTATTAAAAAAGATTCCTATATAAAAATATTTATTATATATGTATTATTTGTATATTTAATTTGAAAAATTAAAATTAAAAAAATATATATAATTAAAAATTAATTAAAATTATAAATAATAACGAAAAAATTATTAATTTGTTTTGCTTAATGTAATTGTTAATATTTTAATTTTTATATAATAACTAGCTATATATTTATTATTATAATCTTTATGCTTATTAATATATATTAAGAATATTTTAATATATATATTTTATATTTTTATTAATATTAACTAAAAAAAACATACATTTATAATATTTGGATTCAATTAAAATAGAAAATTATATTTTTAATTCTAATTTTAAAAATATTAATTAAATATATATATATCATTACAAGTATAATATTAACAAAAAGATAAAAATATGTTTTTGATTTAAAAATATTAAATTACTTTAATATTTAAAAATATTTTTAAATAAGTATTGAATAACTCTATATATGTAATTCATATATATCTATAATTTCAATTAATAAATAAATAATTATATATTTATATATATATCAATTTTATTCTTTTTAATATTTAATATATTATTATTAAGAATTATTATCTTATTGAAATTCATTTGATTAATTAATACTATTATTCGATATATTTATTTATTTAAATTATATAAATTAAGATAGTTTTTATAGCTTCTCATCAGCTAGTTATTTTCTTAATTATAACTCATAGTTAATTGATTAAAGGTCCTAATTTTCTTATTTAAGCTTTTTATTTTCCACAGTCTATATACTATAATCATTATTAATAATACTTATTTTTTTTTCTAATTTCTAGATTTATAGTAAATACTACTAATTATAACTTTCTAAATTATTATTAATTTATTATAATTGTTTAATCTCCTATTATAATTCATTTATTTTTTAATTATTCATATTACTAATAATTTATTATTCATTTTAATAACTTTTATATGAAAAATTTAAATTTTAATATAAATTTTATATTATTTATATTTACTTATTTTTAATTTTTTTTATTTCTTCAAGTTCCTTAAATTTTTATTTTTGAATAATTTCACATTATAATCCTTCATAACTTTCTTTATTTTTTAAAATAAACTTATTTAATTATTCTTCAACAATTTAAATTTATTCTTTAAAAATTTATTTTTCATTTTATAATTCTTCTATTTAGTTCATTAATTTATTTTCTTATTAAACTAACTTTTGAATATTTTCATTATCAAAGCTATGTTATTTTATTAAATTTTCGATTTCAATTTATTAATTTTAAATTTGCAATTCTTAGTTTTATATAATGATTTCTTTATCTTTAATATTTTTTTCTAAATCATTTGAGAATAAAAACAAATCGTTTGTTTGTTTTTCATATTCTGAAATAATATTTTATATTTCTTTTTTTTCGAAAAAATGTTTTGCTAATTCCTCATTTTCATTTTTTAAAGATAAAACATAATTTTATAATTAATTAATAAATTACATTAATTTTTAAATTTCTTTATTACTTTAATCATTAATTTCTTATACTAAATTTTCCCAATATAATTATTCTTAATTATTATTATTATTTTTCATTATTTATCCCTTTTATAACGCTAAAATTTGTAAAGAACTTTTTAGCTCTTAATTTATTTAGCTTTTGCTTTGATTTATTATGTTTTAAAGCTTTTAACAGATGCTTTTTTATTCTTAATTTTTCTATGTTTTATAATAAAGACTTTTATATTAATTATAAATATATTCACATTCTGCAATAAGTTTTTCTATTATCAAATCTTTATTATTATTTTCATTATTAATCTATTTAATATTATCGAAAAAGTTTTATATATGCATTTTCAATTAATGAAATTCATCATTTTCTTTGTATTCCATTAAAAAAAATAAAATAAAATAAAATTAAAAGTTATTATTTTTGTATAAATTAATTAAATTAAGAATTTTATTCAGTTTTTTTAATTAATAAACAAAAAAATGATGAGATGTTAATACAAAAACCATTATAATTAAATAAAAAATATAGTATGCTTATGCGAAAAAGAGGCTTTACTACTTTGTGTATATTGTTTTTAAGATGGACATTAAAATCATCAATTTATGGGAATAGAAAAGTACTTAGATAAAATCAGAAATACATATATAGATATATAATCAGAAGAAATCTAAATAGAAAACTAAAAATAATAATTAAAATATAAATATGATTATTTATAGTTAAAAATAACAGAATTATCTTAAAATTTGGAAATTCTCCTTCATTAAATTAAAACAAAAAGTGAATAATAAATGTCTGAATTCTAATAAATGCATTCTAAAATGGCTTTATTCTAGATTAAATTAACAAAAGATCCGTTAAACGAATAATATATTCAAGAAAGTTTAACTTTTTCTTAATATATTAATTAATAATTAAAAAATGAAACCACATTATTTCATTAATATGAAATTTAATTATATAGTATACAAGAAATAATATAATAAAATATTTAAAAAATCTAAGAAAGGTAAAAAAACATCATAATAAATTCCAAAATCAATTCCGATTCTCATCTTTTGTACACTAAAAGTATACTTCATGCCCATAATAATCGAATTAACTCATTTCTTTTACAATAACATAATATTTTGTACACTTGTTCTTTAGATGGAACTTTAAAAAAATGGTCTTTAAATACAATTAAATGCCTTGCAATTTAAAAATGCGATTCTCCAAATTTTTATCTTAACTTAATTATAATTGAAAATTAAAATATATTAGTTGCACTTAGAAATGATAATAAAGTTCATATTTTAAATCTTAGAACTTTAAAGATTATAAAAACAATAAAAATTCCTTGGAATTAAACTAGTTGTCCTTAACTAATTAAAGGAGTTAATAAAAAAAGTCACCATATTGCAGTTTCTGCAGGCACTAAAATATTCATTTTGGATATTTTATTAGGAAAAATTATTTTTGAAACTGAAACTTAACCACTTTTTTTGTCTATTCTTTTGATTTCTTTATTGATGGAAAATATACATATTTAATTATTGGAGATAAAATAGGTTTTTATATTTAAAAATAAATTAAATTTATATAAATATATTTTGTAAAGGTAATATTTGTATTAATGAAATTAATTTTGGTGGAAAGATGAATACTATTTCTTAAGCTCATATGGAAAAAATTGTTGATGTTAAGATTTTGCCCTAATCAAATTATGTAATTACTGCTTCAACTGATAGATAAGTTAAAGTTTGGAAAATGCCTAATTTACAATATGTTTAAAATATTTAAACTATAGGATTTGTTGATGGATTTGATACTTGTGGCAAATATCTTATTATGAAATAATAAGATATAGGTAGGCTATAAAAAATATATTTTAGCAAGAAAAAAAATAGTGTTTAATGTAAACCTTTTTTACCTATTTAAGAAAAATGTTAAGATATATTTTTGTATTAAAATTAAATGCTTATTACTTATTTTTATAATTCTAAATAAAAAAGTGATATTTTTATTCAATATTATTGATTAAAGCTTAATTATTTTAATTTTAAAAATAATATAAATATTGTGATTTCTTCTGTTATGTGTTATTTATTTACTTTTAGTTTTTAATTAATAAATGCTATTAACATTTTATTTTAATTTGCTTTTTATATATTTATATAATTAATCTAAATTAATTTTTAAATTTTTTATATTAATAAAAACTATAAATTTTTACTTGATGAAATATAAGTTATTAATTAAATAAAAACATAATATTTTTTTATTTTTTTCAATTTTATTATGTAATAATTTTATATATTTAATTTACTTTTCTCAAATAAAGAAAAGTAAGTCAAAATATTATTTTCTTTTCTATTAAAAAAAGAATTATTGAATATAATTTTTAAATAAATTCATAAAATGTATATGTTATTTAAATAATATACATTATCTAATATAAAATAAAAATAATTTATCTTATTCATTTATATAATTTTTTTATATATTAAATTTTTAAATTTTGTATAATAACACAAAAAAACATTATTTTATTATATCATATATTATACTTTTTTAGAAAATAAAATATAAACAAGAAATAATTGTACATATTGAAATTAAATATTTCTGAAAAAAAAAAAAAAACTAAACAAAAAACATATAAAAAATCAAAATAAAAGTTTCTAAAGAAACCAAAATGTCAAAATATTTTCAAAGAATAGGAAAAAAGTAATACTAGTATTAAATAGATATTATTTTAGATAAATTATATATGAATTTATCAGTTTAAGATTGTCTAATATCTATACTTGTAAAACGAGGTTTAAAAAAAATAAAAAAATATTTTCAAAAAAATTTATTAAAATTATTAAAAAAACAAAAGGCAAACATAAATAAGAAATAAAAAAACCGGCTTAACTTAAAGACAAATTAGCATTTTTTGAAAATCAAACTATTACAGTACCATCAAAAATGTATTGGGATGAAAAAACATCAAAGTTTTTAGAAAAAACAGCAGAACTTTAAATAAATATTAGGCATTAAAAAATATCCAAATTAGCAGGAAAAATTGAATTCGATATTGCTTTTTATGCTAATAATTAAATTAAATCATATAAAGAACAAAGGCCATTAATTAAATGCCCTGATTCATCAGCAAGACTTTTTTATGAAATAAGAGTTTATTAAATAGGTGATTAGACATTACATTTAGATTAAAATAAAGCGTTTTTTTATAAAAGCAAAGATTTTAATATTTCATTTTTTTAATTTATAAAAAAAAAGACCAATATATAATACAATACCAGATAATACTAGAAGCGTCTCTCCATATATTCCAAAAACTTAAAAAACTGAAATATAAGATTTAAGATAATTTGATTCAAGTAAAAAAATAAAATAAGAAAAAAATAAAAATAAAAAAAATAGGATCAGTATCTCCAAATATATAAGCTTAGTCTTTATATGAAGAAAAAAAAAAATAAAAAAATGAAAATCAAGATGAAAATTCTTAAAATAGTTATATATAATAAGCTAAAAAATACTAAAGTAATAACTAACCCTATGAATAACCTAAATTAAATATAAATAGTGAAAACACATCTGTATTATTATCAAAGCTTCCAACATAAAATTATTCATTAAATACAACTCAAATGAACGAATAATAACAATAATATTCGAATATTTAATCAAAAATAAAAAGTGAAGTTCAATCAAATTAAGATTAATAGCTACTTTAAAAACAGAAAATTGAAAATTAATTACTTTAAAAGGAAAAATAGGCGTTAATAGAATAATATGAAAAATTAAATTAAGAACAAAAGAATTTAAATGCAAAATATTAAGAGACTTTAATTTAATTGGAAAATAATAAAAAAGAAAAATAATAAAGCAAAGCAAAATGTGAAATTTACGAATAAAAAATAAAGTAATTTGAAGAATAATAAGAAATACAAAATTAAAAATTTTCATAAAATTATATTTAATTGGAATAAAACTATTAAAAATAAATTTAAGATTTACAATAAGTAAATTGCCTTCTTTAATAATAAGTATAAAATAGTTCCTTTTAAAGTTAAAATAATAATTAATAACTTTTAAATGAAATCCAAAACTTAAAAAACGAAAACTTAAATTTATAATAGTAAATTTAAGACTTTAATAATTAATAAATACATGAAATCAAAATTGCTTAATTAGAAGATGAAATAATTGCCATTAAATAAGAAAATGAAAATTTGAAATAAAAAAATGACTATAAAAACAATACATAATAGCTTTTTTCTTCATAGAGTACAGAAAAAGACCTTTAAAACAAAATTGACGATTTAAACGAAAAATTATTAAAATAAGCTGTAAATAAATTTATATATTATTATCTATTATTATTATATTAAAAAACAGGTTTCAAGATCCAATATAGAGTTAGAAAGAGATAACTATAGAAGATAACTGAAATAAAATTAAGAAGAACTTAACAAATAGTTATAACATTAACAAACATTAGAATATTCAATTATTTAAGTAAAGTAAACTCTTTCTGAAGTAATAAATGCTATTTTAACTGTTGGAAATTCAGAAATATTAGAATTAATTGAACCTTTTCTTAATATAAATAATATTAATAATAATTTCAATTCTATATATGAAAACAAATAAAATCTAAGTTATTTATGATTTATAAACTAAATATTATAATTATATATATATTTAATATTTTGTAAAAAGTATAAAAATTAATTTAAATTAAATTTATTTATTATATTTTAATCCTATATTGAAAATTATTAAATAATAACATTTTATTAATAATAAAAATGAAACCTAAAACCATTAAAAATACATGTTTAATTTTTAGTACAGGAATAACATTAGCATCAATAAAATAGATTTTTTTCAATATTAGTATGACTTAATAAATACACTTAGTTTAAAATATACTATAAAATATATATAATTTAAAGCAAAAGTAAATGATGATGAAATGAGTTCAATAGTTTAAAAAGACGATATAATATTATCATATAGATTATCAAGAACTGACTATTCATAATTATAAAAAAATTAAATAGTACTATTATAGTAAATAAAATAACTTTATAATATTAATATATATTATTTTATAATATTAATATACTTCATTTAAGTGACACTAATAATAATGTATATAAAGTTAGGAAAATATAAGGATTACCAGATGAATGGATATAAGAAAATAATTAAAATATATTAATTTAAATTCCTAGAGGATGTTTTTATATTGAAAATGATTAACAAAAATAAAAAAATTCAAATTATTAACAATTTAACAATTTCTAGAATTAAATAAATGAATATTAAGATGAGTCTATTTATACTGTTAAAAATATGAAAAATGCATATAATAATGTGGTAATTTTATTTATTAATAAAATTATTAAATTAAATAATACAATTTATTTAAAAATATAGTTTTATTAAAGTATTGTCTAATATATACCTTTTTTAAGGATATATCCTTTTTAAAAATTCGGGTTAATATGAAGTTAATTGAATTAAATATTTATTTATTATGCTTTATTAAAATTAATATTATTTTGTTGAATATAAGTATTATATTAAATAATATATTTTTAATTTATATTATAATATATTTAATTATTATATATATGTATATTCGAACATTCATTTTTTAAATATTAAATTTTTAATTATGAACATAAAAGAACAAAATAAAATATTTAATTATACATAAAAAAAAATATTTAATTATAAAAAAATTAAATATTTAAATATTTTTTTTGAATATATATATAAAAATATTCATTTCTAATCTCTATTATTATTTTTTGTTTGTTTAAAAATTTAATTTTTTATTTATATATTAATTTCAATATATTTAAAGTATATTAATATCATTTATTTTTGATTTTTTTAAAAAAAATTGATACATTCAATAAATCCTTATTAATTATTAAAATAAAAAGGTAAAAATTAAATTTTCTTTTTTAATAATTATTTTTTTATAATTAAATACAAAATGCATTAAATAAACAAAAATAAAATTAAAAATGAGTAACATTAATCTATAAACTTTAAAATTAACAGAAACATCAAATTAATATATCGTAATTATCAATTAAAAATAAATAAATAAAAATATATATTTTAATATTTGCAACAACATTATATAATAAAAAAATAAATATTAAGATTACCCCAAACAATAATATTTTTCTAAACAATTTAACTTTGACATTTTAAAAATAATATAATTATGAATAAAATGATGAAAAAAATATAAAAAATAGTAAATTTATCTATTTAATATATTAATACATAAAAATAAAGAAAAAAAAGACTATAGCGCATTTTTAGGTATATTAAGAATAGAAAAAGAATATTTTCTATTACTAGTAAAAGAAGTGAAATAAGTATGTGAAATAAAAGGAAAGCCAATATACTAAATAAAAAAAACTAAATTTATTCCTTTATAAACCGATCCTAAAAAGCTAAGAAAACCAATATTTAATTTTCTTTTAAAAATAAAAGAGCTATTAGAATAAGGACATTATTTTTCTTTTTAATATAATTTATCTTAAAATCTCTAAAACCAATAAAAACCACCAAATTAATTATTTATATGGAATAGAAATATGCTTAGATCAATAAATCCATAATGGCATGTTTATTTAATATAAGGATTTATTTAGCAATATTAAACTGCTTTAAAAGATGGTTAAAACTTTTAATATATTTTAATTACAAGAAGATGCTCTTTTAGAGGAGGAACAAGATACAATCATAGAGGTATAATATATAACATTTAAATATATAAATATATATATATATATATATATATATATATATATATTTATATATTATATCATTTTATATATTCATATAAATTTTACTATATAAAATAGGTATTGATAATAAAGGAAATGCAGCCAATTATTGCGAAAGTGAATAAATTTTAATTGTCAAAAATATTTGTTTTTCACATGTCTTAATAAGAGGTAGTGTACCTCTTTTTTGGTAATAATAAGGGTTTAAGC